AGTAATAAGCGCTTGCGCATTCTCATGAATTTCAATCCATGGATCGCACAATCGACTGGATCCATTAGAACTGTAATATAAGCTGCAACTGGCTGCAACCAACCATACACAACGACAGACGCAGTTAAGTAAACCCGCTTAGTAGTATTCAGGGGAATCTGCGGAATAAACATATATTAATAGTAATTAAGTTAAACTTTTCAAACTATAAAATAATTACCTGTCCAGCATTAATATTGATGATGATAGTATCAGTGCAAGTGTTTAGTCATATCTGTTTTTTTTATGCTTTCTTGCATATTTCAAAAAACTTTGTTGTAATTTGTCTTGTTTATCTGCAATTTCTGAATCATGTTTTAAAATTCCGTTTAGAGTTTGAAAATACCTCCTAAAAATTTGTATTAAAACTTTTTCTAGCAATTTCTCTATAAAATCATTTGTGTGTGCACATTTACTAAATTTAAAATTAATTTTCTCTCTCAAATATTCTTATATCAATCATATTTCTCTGATATAACGTAAGGCAATATATAATAAGTTATATTGAATATATCAATGAGCGAGAGTAGAAGAAACTCCGAATAATATGTTCTAAAATAATTTACATTATAAGACTTCTTCCACTCCAATTCAATGAATGATATTCCTTCCCTTGCAAAGATATTCGTATTGCAAATAGTACAATTATTTTTAACAAATAATTGTTCCATTTGTTTTAAAATAACTACTGACAAATAGGAAAAAAATATCTCTTCAATTGGTTCATCTTAGGTAATTCTATCATAAGTTTCGAAGGGCTTGATAATACTTCATCTCTTTGTTTGAAAAATGCATTAATACAAATTATTAATAGACTCAAGAGAATCACTTTCTGAATTTGCGCCTATAACATTTGCAATAAAAACGTTATTTACTAATAACGTTGAGAATCTACTTATAAATGAAACACATTAAGGCTTATTGTTCGGCAATCCCATTTGCCTCAATTGGCCAAATGTATTTTCTATGTATTAAACCATCAGATACTCAAATTAAAGAGAAACTACAACCTTTCCAACAAGCTGACTGCCGGCATTGTGGTTTGGTCAGTACATCTACTATAAGTTATCAAAATCAAACATTTTAATTATAATGAAAAATATATTATTTAGCACCTGACGAATCGATTTACTCAAATTTTATAATTGATTAAATAGGAATATTGATGCTCTTTGAATGTCGGTCGGCTGATCTCTGCTCTGATCTTTTTTATATTGAAAATACAGTACAACATATCCTTCTAAATATAAGTTATTAGATGACTGAAAATATAACATATCTGATATTAAAAGTAATTTATTAACTTTAGAACGTTAAACAATTCTGTGACGAAGTGAATCTAACAAAAAAATATATATAAATAAAAGCCAACATGAGTTTCCTTTCTGTAATTAAAGTCGTATCAATGATAGTGCATAATACAATCGAATATAAAAATTATGTAAAGAAAAGAAAAAGATAACACATTTATTGTTGGACTGTAGATCGATAAATCCTTTTTATATAACGTTATTAGTTTACAAACAACAGCAACAAAAGAAAAATAAGTTTGTACATGTTTTCAACACCAATTTGGGCTGGAATAGCGTGACTATTCGAGATACACGAGCGTATCTGATTAGTTGGTGCCAGTTACCAGATTTTAAGGTGTATGGAAGTGCTAATCAAACCATAGACGTTACAAACTGAATAGATTAGAATTACCCAAAAACGCATAGAAACAATATGAGTTGGATATAAACAATGTTTATAAATAAAATTGATAAACGCACGTGAAAGTTCTCAAAAAATAATTAAGAAAAATAAATCAGATTTGAAATTATGAAAGCAAAACTAAATAATCTACGATTTGTTAACTCAATCATTCCTAAAACTTCTTCAAAAATAACTAGAACACCCTTAGTCTAGTAGTTTGCTAGTGGCGTGCGAAATTATGCCATCAACATATTGTACTTGATAGAACGTCCGAACGAACGCGTAAGTTGTAACAAACAGGAAAAAACAAACAAACAAAAGTTGTAATAATTGTGTGCGAGCGTTTGTAAATTCACTTAGCGAAAGGTTTCAGTTTTGTGTAATTGATGAGTTACAATTGCATTCGGAAACGTCCCTGTGCCAGGCACTAAATGCTATAAGAATCGATACATTTCTGATTGAAATTAAGCTTACAATTAAAGCAAAGCAAAAAACAGTGTAATTCTTTTGTACATCTTCATCGGAAATAGAAATGGATTTTCGTGCGTTCTTCGGATTATGGATTCGAACATATCGAATTAGGTTTATGGCGTTCCTCGTTAATCCTTCGCGGTATGCGTGCCTTCGACAAATAAATTAATATGATCGTGACCAATTATTAGCAGACTGCAGAGATTATAGAATGGAAAACGTCGTTGGGATTTTTTGAGCATGCATTAAAATAGGATTTTAGTATTACGCGAGCATTTGAAACGGGAAAATGTTGCGGTCGAATCGAATGCAAGTCTCTTGAAAAGTCTCCTCGAGTAAATTAATTTGCTGTGTTTTGGGCATAAATCTCTGTTATTTTATTGTTGCTGTTCAGTTGAAAATTATGGCGACATCGGAGGACGAATTCGCTAAGGTCTGTTTCTGCTTTTTTTTACGAGCAACTCTCGTGTATGCGAAAAATTCACGTAGAGCAATTGCATATATTAAGAATTATTGCTTGTACTCGTTTTTTATTCCCAGCTCGAAATTCATGGTCTTTATTTAAGTATAGAACTGTAATTGTTGGCGAATGTAATTCGGGAGAATTGTTTGCACGCAAAATCCTTAAAAATACAGAAAATGATCGTAAAACTTGGAAAATCGTTAAACAAATATAATTACAATTTACTTGATAGTAATAGTTATTTTGTATATTAATATAGCTTATACGTGAATTATGTAAAACATTTTAGAAAAACACAAAAAAACTTATTTCTTGTCATTTTTCTTTCTTGTTATTTTCAATAATAATCCGAACATATACAATATGCATATAAACTGCGCTAAACTCTAACAGAAATGTAAAGAGTTTTAATTGTTACAACTTTCGTATTTATGTGTAGATATGTAATGATGAATCTGGAATATTTTTTAATTGAATATCATAATTTTGATAAATACGTACTTCTCAAGTATAATTAGAAATCAATAATCATTACATGCAAATGTTCATATAAATATCGAATAATATAGATTTTGTAAATGGAACTTATCAGTAATACATGGTTTTCCAGTAAAATGTATACACAATTTCAGATAACTTCAGTTTTTATTCACATATAATTGATATTTATTGAATTGTAAATGATTCAACATAAAAAGTATAATTGTTCCTATTTGAATTTTCGAAATTATTTTCTGGTTTCGGTTTTCTGGTTTAAGAAATTCCCACAAGAAAAAGTCTACTGGCGTTAATTTGAATCTCGCTCCCAAAAACTGTGCACTTGTTCTCATTTTTCCAAGTACCATTCGCAAAATAGTTTTCTTCAGTCTATATCATCTTTCTTTATAGCATGTACTAATGTTGGAATGTAACTTTTCCATTTACAACGTCTTAAAATGCGATGGAATCTTGATTTAATGACGCCAACTTCACGACTTATTTTCTTAAAGTACTCTTTCTTGGTTAGTGAAATTCGTTGATGTTCTTTCTGAATTCGTTTCAAACTTATCATGTGAATTGACCTACAATTCCTTGAGATATTGTCTTTGTACTTCTGCTTCATTTTCATACTTCCAATTGCATTTTAAAATAATTTTTCGTTTTTCAAAAGTTAATCTTAATCCATTCATTATTTTCAATTAATTGAAAAAAGTTTTTAGTTTCTGTGAATGTATGTCAGTGTGTAAATATACAGCCAGAAACGTATTCAAGAGTATATTACAACAGTAGTTGTTCTAGGAAACTTAAACTAATTTAAATAAGATAAGAAAAGCAAAGAATAAATAGACCATAAAGAACACAATAAATTAGATTAAGAAGCAAAACAAATTGTTAGACTTTAATCATTTACAACCAAAAACTTTAACTGAAATTACAAAATGTGTATACTAATTGAGCTTTGGAGAAAAGTAAATTTAAAACATAAATTTACAGAAAATAATTTGCTACAAATCAAGAACATGTTGAAATGTTACGTAAACACTTTTTGAATCTTACTTTTTAAAGTACTTTCTTTTAATATAATGTTATATAAATAATTAATTTTATAAAGGAGTTTATTAACATTTAATGTTTCTTGTAAATGCAATTACTGTCCAACATTCGCTGTAGATGTTTGCCAAAGTTTCAATGATTCGTGTTCTCATTTGATTGTAGTAAACAAATAATTAAATATTATTTTTGGAAAGCCTTGCGTTTGAATTGTATGCGACACGAACTGAAATCGAAAATCCTATTATTATTATTGGATATAGAAAATACATTTTCTATCATATGAAGATGGAATGATTGATCAAACGACAGTTGCTAAGTTACTAGAGACCCAGTGGTAGAGCGGAAGACGATAGTGTGTCGTTTTACGTGTTCCACACACGTATATGTCCTCAAAATCATCTCGAGATGTCCACTGCAAAGAAGAAATTGAGCAGGAAGATCGCGATGCTCGGCGGCGTCAGGAAACTGGCGATGCCGAGCCGATCGGAGAGCGAAATATGCGTAAGTACGTTTTGAGGAATTGTCGGCCATTAAATTGGAATGGTAAATGGTCCTCGCTCGCCTGGGTGTGCCTGGAACAAGAAACCCATTAGCATAACGCCATAACACTTCGTGAATCGCGGAGACGGTGAAAAATGTGCCCAGAGAGTGACATCGCGTGTCTTCAGCGAAATATGTATAAAATGCCACGAAGAGTTCGGCCCGGACCACAGTGCAAATTTCGTATGCACCAAGTCACACGCCAGACACACTCGATAGCAAAATGTTCGTCTGCGGACCACACATAGTCCACGACCAGACGGACTCTGAGGACAATAGCGAAGATGATCCGATCATACTTCTATTGGTTACTCTCCCATCTTAAAGAAGCGATGACTTTTAATGTTTGTTCTTTTTTTCTGTTTGATTCTGCAGCGGCGAAGGGAGGAATGCGAGAGGAAGGCACGAAGAGGCGAGATGGATCCTCGTCTGGAGTTCGCCTTTCAGCTGCTCATCGATGGCACCGGCTTGTCCAGACACGAAGTCATGAACTATGTCTTCGAAGGCAACATGGTACCACGACCATCAGCAACTGAATCCAACTGAATTGTCTTTATCTCATTTTGCAATCCTGCAGCTCGACGAGATCAACAAAATCTTCCTTCCGCACATGAGGTCCAAACTGATGTGGTTCTATCAGGATATGGAAGATATGGAGACGTTACCGGTGCCAGAACCTAAGGTCAATCCGATCAGACCTCTGCAGCCGTCTACGAGCAGGACGCAAATGACTCTTCAGCAACCAGTCATGAAGAAGAAACTGTTCCTCACCGATGGCTGGGAGACACCGCTCACCGGGATTTGCATTTACATCTTCAGAACCAATACCAATAAGCAATTACCAGAAGAAGGCTTTCACAAAGTATTAATGGAATATTTGCGCCTAAAACAAAATAAAACCTTTTTTTCAATAGGATCTGTTCTGCGGAAAAATAGATGCTGAGAAAATAGGTTTAGTTACGACGATAGAGAGGATAATCGAGCATGTCTTCATGGAAGCCTTGGCCCATCCGAGTCCCGATTGCGAGGATGACGCTGCTTCTTGTCCTATGGTCAAAAACCAGTTGCTGCCAGGCCTGAGATCCTTTTGCAGCGCTTTAAGAGGTAACTCAAATTATCATGAATGTTTAATGAATTTCAATTACAGGTAACTTTAGTATAGCACATTCGTGTTATTCAAAAGAAAGAACTAGTACAAAAAATAGGTTAGGTTCTTAAATTTGATAAAACTAGTATTATTATCTAAAATGGAAATTATTGTTCCTATTCACGATAGTTTATGAATATAACAATTGATTCATTTTTTTGTTAAGTTTGCGAAGAAATTTGTGGTCAAGAGAACATATTTGATGATGGTAAGTCGCTGGTAAGCAATTTAACTTTGGACGATGTAAAGGAGATGGCCAATAAGCCGGAGTCCATTGCGGAATTGGAGAATCGGGTTAAAACTTGGTGCAAGAAGTTATCTGATGTGCTCAAGGAGAGCGAACAAATCCGCAGAGAGAACCATTCTTCGGGACCGCAGGACGAGCTGGAGTATTGGAAGAAACGCGGCGCTCAGTTCTCGCAAATCGTGGAACATCTGCAAGATACCGAAGTCCAGAGAACCATCACTTGTCTGCAGTACGCACGTTCCAAATACCTTAAAGAGTGGCGCGAAACGGACAAGAAGATCACCTATTGCTACAACGAGGCTAAAGACAACGCCAAATACATACAAGCAATGGAGAAGAACTGTCATTCTCTGTATCTGGACGATCCGGTGAAGATGAAAGGCTCAATTCTCGGCTTACTGCAGACAGTCAAGTTAATCCATACTGTCTCCCAATATTACAATACCTCAGAAAGAACTTCAGCTCTCATGGTCAAAGTAATTACCGTTGAAATATAAGAATACAGTTGACAGCCTCTTAAACTCTTTTAGATAACCAATCAAATGATTGAAACGTGCAAAGATTACATAACGTGCCGAGGTAAAGATACAATTTGGTCGCAGGACCGAGATTTGATCAAAGAAAAATTGATCCATTGCATCAACCTGAACTACGAATACCAGAAGACATACAAAATCGTTAAAGCACATCAGATGATCCCCGGGCACGAATCCACGTTCAGCTTTTCCGAAAACTACGTGTTCGGTAAATTCAACACTTTCTGCGAGAGATTGAAGAAGATTATTGCGATGTTCGATTTAATCAACGATTACAACAATTTGTTTCAACGGCGGATGGAGGGATTGTTGCTCGGAGAAAGTAAACTAAATATCATATTATTGTTTTGTACGCTTGTATTGATTTCTTTGTAGATTTGGAAGAGGCATCGAAGAAGTTTGAGGAGATCAAAACTGGGATAATGAAGAAGACGTACGACTACTTGGATCAGAGGAACGGCGAATTTGACAAAGATTTCACTACTTTCATATCGCAGACCGATGAACTAATCGAATCTATCGGTGATATCATCGAGCAGAATTTCGATAGTGTCTGGGAGACGCCGCAAGGGATTCGGTTTCTCACCAGGTTCGAGAAAGTCAGCGAGATCGTGCCCTTGAAGCGAATGGACAACAAATACGAAAGAATCTTGAAGCATTGTGAGAAAGAGGTGGAGAGGATCATCAAAATGTTCAGGAAGCAGAAAGAAGATCCGCCTATTCCAGTCTTGTTTCCACCAATAGCTGGAAGGATAAAGTGGGCTAAATCCTTGATATCCCACCTCGAAGAGCTGATGGACAGCGTCACCAATCACCACGTTCTGAAGAGTTTACCTATGACTATAGAATTATCGAAAAAATACAGGTACGCCGATCACATGTTGAGGAATTACCAAGACGATATCATCGCTGTCTGGATGAACCAGCACGTCTCTGACGTCGATAGATGTCTGAAGAGGAATTTGCTAACAATTTGTCCGGATCAGAATAAGCTTATGGTGAATTTGCATCAAACCATTCCGTTGCTAATTAGGGAGAGCGATTTAATGTTGAAGATGGATCTTCCGGTCCCTATCATCGCGCACACTTTATTCTCAAAGCAGGATTACTTTAACCTCTTGAAAGATTCGCTCCAGGTAACATCATATTTCTTGCCTAAAAAAAACCTATAATATTATTTAAATTTATTTAAGTTCCTCATCAATAATTTCATCAAAATCGTGAAAAGCGTTAAACTGGAAATTCGTCCTTTATTTCTTCCGCACTTGGACAAATTGGTGAAGATCATCGAGCCTGGTTTATCTCAACTGAATTGGGTCTCCTCCACTTGGAAAGCGTACATAGATAAATGCAACGAAGCCGTGGATAATTTCAAAACTTTAGTAAATATTAAGATTATTTTAGAACAATTTAATATTTTCAAACATTTTAGGTGACAAGGGTGCATGATGTGTACGTGAATAGAGTCTTAGAGGTATTGTCGCATATGCAGACAATAACTTTACATTGCATCCCATCACCAGGAGATCCTCCTTGGACCGTCGATGACTTCATTAATAAAACAGAGAACATCTGCAGATTGGCAGCCATGGAGTTACACACGAAGAGTTTGATGGTCGAGGAAGCCGTTGAGGAAATCCTTCTTTTGGTCAGGAAAGCCAGATTGGAAAAGGATTCTTCTGAAGAGGAGTATTTCTCTGATACCGGTAATTAACTCTTCTTGATTTTCAACACAAATTGATAAAAGGTTTCAAGAACATTTGGAAGACTATTCATCGACTCAACAGTCGGATTGGAGCGTAATATGCGAATGCTTCGAGAGACCGCACGGCCTTTTCGGTAAAGGTTTGACGAAAGTCATGCAGGATATGGTGAAGAATGCAGTGAACGAAATGCGACGTTATTACAGCAGGAAAGTCGTCGACGTTCTTGTGAAAATCACCAGACATTCTTTAGATACCTTACGGAAACGATTCTCCCTCGGTATTGAAATTTCTTTCAACTACAATTTGATAATAACATCCACTTTCTGATAGATTATGAAGAAACCAGAAGTCCCGTGTTTATTTTAGAGGCGATACTCATGATTCCCAAAGTCTCGATACAACCCAATCTGGAAGATGTCCAGGAGATTCTCATAATGGCTGGAAAACTGATCACTTCGGTATCCAAAGGCGTGGGACAATGGACGGGAGGAAAACCTCAGGTAAAAACCTTTTTACCAATGCTTAGACAACGTAGATTGTATATTTTATATTAAAGAAAACTTCAATTGTAAATAGAATTCAGCGATGAAGAAATTCTAATCGCATTAGATTACGTAATTGTATATATGTATATATAAAAACAATCGTTAAGTATATATTTATCAAACTAATTGTATCGTGATACAATCAAGATATTTATAGCGCAACTTGTTAAACTTTGACGTTTTCAATTACTAAAGGTTAATTAGTTCGTGCAAAGTTAAATCTTTAATGAACAACCAAATTTACATCGTAATTACCTATTATCTTTATATAATAATGTAGATATGTCAATTTGACATTGACAAATAATTACATTAATTCATGATCCAAACATATCTATTACTCATATAAATTTTCTTTAAGTATCTCTTAAAGTCTTTTTTTCTGATCAAGTATTTTAAAATCATAATCTTTTTGGATCGTGAACAATTAAATCTTCAATGAACAACCGAAATTGTGATATAATTACCTTTATATAAAAAAAATATTAAGAACCAAATGAGACGTCAATTTGACATTGACAAATAATTATTTTAATTCATAGTTTCTACCTAATTTATTTATATAAGTATATACTTTATATCGTTTTCAAAGTTTAATTTTCTGGCTGAATGCCCATATTTTTTCTTAATGTGTAATGTGTGAGGTACATAAACATTCCTGGTCAATATTTTGATTTAGTTGATTTGAAAAATATTCTCACAATATAAATGTTTCAATCTTCCTTCATCTTTCTTCTACAATATAACGATACAATCAATCGTTTTGCAAATATCATCAATATGACGATGGCCAATAAACATACGGCAAAAAATCCGATTATATCCAAATATAGAATAATATACCATGGCACCTTAATCGCTGGACTCTTCAGATGCGTAACATGTTTATGCCTAATGACATACTCAATCCACCAAATCGCCTTCTCCAGCGATCCAAAAGGTTGATCAACTAACAGGTCGTGCAGCTCTTTCGTCTTCGACTCGTACCTGAAAATCAAATAATTTAAAAAGTTCTTTGAAAATTTCGTTGAAGTACACTACTTCGGCATCAAAACATCTAATATTGTCCTCTTGAAATCGGCTTTGTTGAGACGAAGGAAATTGAGGGATTTTCCGAAACCGATTTTCTCCACTTTCCTTGCATTCGAAAATTGATCGCCGAAGAATGGGACGACAACTACCGGCGTTTTATCCTCCTTGGGTTATAAACAGTTTCACTTTGTGATGTCCTAGTATACGAGTGAAAAGATAAATTTAAGATTAAGAATTATTATTATTAATTGTTTACTTAATATGTCCTGTTGGGGAAACCACTTTCTGATCACGAGATTATTCGGTTTATTTGGTAAATTTTCTGCTTCGTATTTCCAGAGAACTAAATGTGGTAGTTCTGCGATGGTTTCCAGAATAATTTTGATTTTATCCTCCGGGAATAAACTGCTTTTAATGTTTGATCCAAAGCTCATGTAAATGATTGAAGATTCATTTGAATTGTTTAGCAGCGAGTCCAGATCCTTGATTATTATTTCTCATTATTTTTTCTTTTCTTAAATGCTTATTACACTTTGTTTGTTGTCAACTTACTTTGGGTAATTTCTGCTCGGGTTTGATGTGAATGCCATGGAATTCGATGAGCGTTGGAATATTTGGTCTCGCCGGATTCAGAATTGGATTTATGTTGGCGAGAACGAGATCCATGTCGTATATCAGTTCTAACGAACTTTTAACGTCTTCCCCGTAAAACTTTCGCATTAGTTTATTCAAGGGTTCGACGAATCTTATTAGGAACAGCCTGCTGATCACGGAGTAGATTACGCTTAAGAGGCGCTCGACGAAGGTGAGGTCTTCGCTAAAGGGAAAATTCAAGTCGGGACTTAAAGCCGGATGGCTAGGATTGCCGATCGCGTCGTGACCTAAATTCATCAACGGCATCGAAGATATTCCTATCAGAGGGCAATTGTACACGTGCTTGAGAGGGAAACCGTTAAAAGAAAAATATTCGACGAGAACCAAATCGAAAGTTTCATTCTTCTCGTTCGAAATGATCTCCGCGAACGCAGGTTGCGACATTTGCGCGTCCATGATCTTCAGCATAAGTTCACAAAACATTTGGATTTGTCCAAAACCTGCTTCCTGCTCCCTCGTACCCAGCGTCGACATGCCCGCATCCTTCCAGATCTCCTGGGACACCTCTCCAATATCTATCTCCGTTAAATTTACTAGAGATTCGTCCTTCAGCGGATACGGCGTGACCACGGTGACTTTGTGTCCGCGCAACGATAATTCCCTCCAGATGGGTTGGAAAGTAATTTGATGGCTGTATGAAGGCGTGAGGAAATACCCTAAGATATTCACCGAATGAACGGTGCCGAAACCGACGAAAAATAAGATTACACGAAGCATTATTAAGTAACTGCTTATTTCCTTCGCTTGCATATATTTATATACAATGCTTTAAAACTTATCAGAGTTCATTTTTACTTATCTTTGTTATTTACACAGACACGGAATTTTTCGAGCATCTACATAACAAAATTAATTAAAAATGAACTAAATTGCTCAACGGAAATTACATAAACATTTTGAAATTTGTCTGCTTTGAACGGCGTACGAAAGTCAATGTTACTGTGAAATTTAACAACGCAATTAATTACACATGTCTGGTATAAGTTATATAATTAAGTTTATCCAAGGATTAACATATTCAGTTCGATCGTTAAGTTCACTTTTGAGTATTTCCTATTGACGGAATAGCCTCACATATCTGAGATAATCTTCTAAATCATATTTCAAATGTATTCCAAATCTGCAAAGAAAATAAATATAAACAGAAATTTAATATTATAAATTTGCTTATAACAAATTCAATTTATTTAATGAGATTTATGTAGTAAAAATGTAAACATTTTTACTTAACTTTAAGCATAATTAAGTGCAGTCATTTTAAGAACTGATAGAAGATGTACGATGAGAGAATATCAAGTCGCATGGATTCGAGTATCTTATATCATCAATGAAGTAACAAATGAAACGAGTTCATGTATTTGACCTTGAAATACAAAAATAAACGCAATATTTATTTAAATATATTTGTTGATACCGTACATAATAGAAATTTTGTAAATATGTTAGTACATAGGTATGCATTTAACATATACCTTATCTTTCGTCTTTTTAGAAGGAATTAGAGGTAAGATTTATGTTTAGAAGCCAAAATTAGACTTAATATTTTATATAGTCGTTTATACATTTATATGAAATTTATTTTGTCGATTGATGATTTGATGGAAATCTTTTAAGAAATTCATATAAATCTATTGATGATTTAAAATCGAGTATAGATTGTAAAATTAATGAACATATTACTCTTTCCCTTTTTGCCAATTAACACACAAATTACACACACACATTACAAAATCTGCACATGAAACACGCTTCTGTACATACACTCATGCTAAAGACACCGCCAGCAAAAACGTCAGGTTGGAAAAAGCTTGTGGACAAATCGAACACTTTCATGGACGTTGTGTCTAATTCTCGATCGACGAAGAAAACGTTCAAGAGCGTCGCTAAAGCCAAGGAGGAGGACTTCCGGATGCGACGGAGACGCCTTTACCGTCTGAAGACCGAAGAAAAACCGGCGTTTCCCAATCAGCACCGGAACTTCCACAATCACGTCATGGAAAACAAGGAGGTGGTCAAAACGTTATCATTACTCTCGACTTGCGTGAAAGACATGAAGAAGGTCTCTAATATACCAATTACAATTTCGCCAAATTAAAATTGATTCTTCTAGGATATAAACACGTTTGTTGTTGGCTGGAAACCTTACAGCGTCCTCTGGAAGAACGAGAAAACCGTGAGGGAGCTGCAAAGTAATTGCTTATCAGACTTCGAGGGTTATTTGCAAAAACACAAAGAACTTGAGCTGAAGCTGGAAACGGAATTGGAGGTGTACGGTATAAATAATGCGTTGGCAATTTACACAGAGAAATTGAAATTTGGTTTGATAACTGAGATCAATTCGTGCACTCACAGGTATTTCATCAAAAACAAATATTAATAGTATTATTATATTTAATTGGTCTATTACTTTTGAAGAGTCGGACAAGCTATGAAGAAGAAGTATAAGAGGGAAATGGAATACGTTTACGCAGTAATCAACGAGATGGAAAGGAAATTGGACAGGGTTATCAGGGATTTGGATGATGTCAGGATGACTATGGACATATTGAAGAAAATCAGAGATCAAGAGGTGGATATGGAGCTGAAGATCGAACCGATAGAAGAAGCTTTCAACGTGTTGGCAAAGCATAACGTGAAAGTCGAAAGAGAAATAACCGAGCATGTCGATAATCTTAGATATACGTGGACGAAACTGTTGAAACATTCGTTGGAAGTCCACGTGCATCTGCTGAAGATGCAGCCGCAATTCGAGGCGGAGCTCAAGCAGAATTTAGAGAAGTTCAAGCAAGATAAAATTAATTATTGCAAAGAGTACCACACGGCTGGGCCAATGCAACCAGGCCTATCGCCAAGAGAAGCTTCTGACAGATTAATCTTGTTCCAAGTGAGTTTAATAGATTAATTGAATATTTGATTATGATTTTACACTTTTTTGAAGAATTGCTTCGATGGAATGTGGAGGAAGCTACAAACGTACCAAAGCGGAGAAGAACTGTTCGGGTTACCAACCACCGATTACCCGGATTTGGCGCAAACCAGGAAGGAATTGAATTTGCTGCAGAAACTGTATAAACTCTACAACGATGTCATCGATCGAGTTACCAGTTATTACGATATCCCATGGGGCAACGTTAACATCGAGGAAATCAACAACGAATTGATGGAGTTTCAGAATCGGTGTCGCAAGTTACCGAAAGGTTTGAAAGAGTGGCCCGCATTCTTCGCGCTGAAGAAAACCATCGATGACTTCAACGATATGTGTCCCTTGCTCGAGCTGATGGCCAATAGAGCGATGAAACCTCGACATTGGAACAGGATCATGGAATCTTTGAATCACGTCTTCGAATTGGAAAGCGATGGTTTCTGCTTGAAGAATATCTTGGAAGCTCCTTTGCTTCAACATAAAGAAGACATTGAGGTAAGTTTATTTATTATAATAAAAGTAAATATGTTAATGTGGATCATTTAGGATATTTGCATATCAGCAATGAAAGAAAAAGACATTGAAGCTAAACTAAGGCAGGTAACAAACGAATGGACAAATCACGAACTCACCTTCATGACGTTCAACAATCGCGGGGAATTGCTTCTGCGAGGAGACACGACTGCGGAAAGCATTAACCAACTCGAGGATAGTTTGATGATCTTGGGTTCTTTACTCTCCAACAGGTACAACGCGCCGTTCAAGAAGCAGATACAAATTTGGGTTACCGATCTATCGAACACCAATGAGATCTTAGAAAGGTGGTTGCTCGTTCAAAACATGTGGGTTTACCTTGAGGCCGTGTTCGTTGGTGGCGATATCGCCAAGCAACTCCCAAAGGAGGCTAAAAGATTTTCTAAAATCGACAAATCGTGGCAGAAGATCATGCAGAGAGCGCACGAAACTCCCGGTGTTGTTAACTGTTGCGTGGGCGATGATTTGCTGAAGAATTTGCTACCGCACCTGCAAGAACAATTGGAGATTTGCCAGAAATCTCTAAGCGGTTATTTGGAGAAGAAACGCATGATGTTCCCCAGATTCTTCTTCGTTTCTGACCCGGCGCTTTTGGAAATCTTGGGTCAAGCCTCCGATTCTCACACCATCCAAAATCATTTGCTATCGATTTTCGATAATACTCGTTGGGTCAAGTTCCACGACATCGAGTACAACAAAATTACAGCTGTTATTTCTTCGGAGAAAGAAATCATACCATTGGAGAAGGCCGTGAGAGCTGAAGGGAGCGTGGAGACTTGGTTGACTCACCTTTTGGCCACGTCCCAATCGTCTTTGCATTCCATTATAAGACAAGCATCTTACAACATTAACGATCCCAATTTCCATTTACTAAGTTTCTTGGACAAAATGCCTGCTCAAGTATAAATTAATTTAAACAAATGTGATTTATTACTATTTCATATAATTAAACTTGCAGATTGGTTTGCTCGGACTACAAATGATTTGGACACGGGACGCCGAACTGGCCTTGATGCAAGCCAGAATGGACAAGAAGATTATGTCGGAAACCAATAACAAGTTCTTGGAATTGCTCAACACTTTGATAGATCAAACCACAAGAGATTTAACGAAGATCGAGCGCACCAAATTCGAAACTCTGATCACGATCCACGTCCATCAACGCGATATTTTCGATATTCTGGTATAATAAGATATTCTAAGATATCATCAACAATTTTTATTCAATAATTTTTGTATTAGTGTCGTCTCAATATAAGACACGTCAACGATTTTGAGTGGCTGAAGCAGTGCCGATTTTACTTCAAGGAAGAACAAGATAAAACGCTGATCATTATCACGGACGTTGTGTTTTCCTATCAAAATGAGTATCTGGGTTGTACGGATCGATTGGTTATTACACCACTCACCGACAGGTTGAATTAATTAAAGGATAATCTAAAAACATTGATCTTAACTTCTTTTCTTCTGACGTAGATGTTACATAACTTTGGCGCAAGCTTTGGCCATGAGCATGGGAGGAGCGCCGTGCGGTCCAGCAGGAACTGGCAAAACGGAAACGGTCAAAGACATGGGAAAAACCTTGGCTAAATACGTCGTTGTCTTCAATTGCTCGGATCAAATGGATTATCGCGGTTTGGGCAGAATCTATAAGGGTTTAGCGCAATCTGGATCTTGGGGATGTTTCGATGAGTTCAACAGAATCGAGCTTCCTGTTCTTTCAGTAGCTGCTCAGCAAGTGGCGGTGGTTCTTTCAGCTAAGAAAGAGAAAAAGAAAACTTTTCCTTTCACGGATGGCGATATCATCGAAATGTGCACAGAATTTGGTATTTTCATCACAATGGTAATTGTGATCTAGAAAATATACAAATGTCTTTGAAAATAAATTTGTTTTTCTTAGAATCCCGGATACGCCGGTCGCAAAGAGCTTCCGGAGAATCTGAAAATCCAATTCCGTACCGTGGCGATGATGGTGCCCGACCGTCAGATCATCATTCGCGTGAAATTAGCCAGTTGTGGTTTCTTGGAAAACATTACTTTGGCAAGGAAATTCTACACTTTGTACAAGCTTTGCGAAGAGCAACTCACCAAACAGGTATATCGCATTCATTAAACATTATACCTTAAACTAATTGAATGAATTTAGGTGCACTACGACTTTGGTTTGAGGAATATTTTATCAGTTTTGAGGAGTTTGGGAGCGGCGAAGCGCGTCAACAATCGAGATTCCGAAAGCACCATAGTTATGCGAGTATTAAGAGACATGAATCTATCGAAACTCATCGACGAAGACGAACCACTCTTCATTTCTTTGGTTGCCGATCTGTTTCCAAATCAAGTGTTAGAAAAAACAGCTTATCCGGAATTAGAAGAAGCTATCAATCAGCAAGTGGATGAGGCCGGATTGATAAATCATCCTCCATGGGTGTTGAAATTAATTCAAGTAAATTAGTAGAGTTGTGTATATAAATGTTTATAATAATTTATATGTGTTTCAGTTGTACGAAACGCAACGCGTGAGACACGGAATTATGACTTTAGGTCCAACGGGAGCTGGAAAAACTACTTGTCTGCAAATCCTGATGAAATCTTTAACACAAATGGGATTCTTTCATAGGTTTTTATTACTGATTCATACCACATCATAATTCGTATTCAATGACTTGAATTGTTGATTTTAGAGAGATGAGGATGAATCCAAAAGCTATAACAGCTTCCCAAATGTTCGGAAGATTGGATGTTGCGACGAACGATTGGACTGATGGTATTTTCTCTGCGATGTGGAGGAAAACGTTGAAATTGAAATCCGGTGAATACGTGTGGATGATTTTGGACGGTCCTGTTGATAGTATTTGGATCGAAAATCTCAATTCCGTTTTGGACGACAACAAAACGTTGACTTTGGCAAACGGCGACAGACTTTCCATGGCTTCGACGTGCAAAATAATGTTCGAACCTCATAATATCGATAACGCATCGCCGGCCACGGTTTCTCGAAACGGTATGGTCTACATGAGCTCTTCTGGTCTTGATTGGAAACCGGTCGTTGATGGTTGGCTAAAGAAACGAAGTCTTCGCGAACAGGAGTTGTTGAGGTCTTTGTTCGATGCTTCCTTCAATGCGATTTACTCATGGAGCACCCAGAATTTAACGTTAGTCATGGATGTTCTTCAGTGCAACATCACGCTTCAAATGTTGTCCTTGTTGGAGGGTTTAGTACCATTGCAACACGAAGAAACAAAGGACGAGAATGCTGAGAATTCCGAGCACGGCGATATCGATGAAGATATTGAGGAGGACGTGGAAAAAGAGGAAGTTCAGACGTTTACCTCTCAGCACATAGCGAAGCTCTACGTGTTCTCTTTGATCTGGGGCATCGGTGCTTTCTTAGACAACAATGACAGAATGAAGCTGGATGAATTCTTTAAAGAATCTCTGCGCGAATTGCAGCTTCCGACTGTTGACAATAAGTACACTATATTTGATTACGTTGTGGATGCGAATGGTGAATGGGAGTTATGGAAGAGTCGTGTAATGAATTACGTGTATCCGGATCAATCCACGCCGGAATACTCCTCGATCTTGATACCAATCATCGATAATGTCCGAATCAATTTCTTAATAGATACCATAGTTAAGCAACAGAAAGGAGCTCTTCTTGTGGGAGAGCAGGGTTCGGCGAAAACTGTAATGATGAAAGCGTTCATGAAGAAGTGCAATCCGGACGTGTATTTGAACAGATGCTTCAATTTTTCGAGCGCCACGACGCCGTTCCAATTTCAGAAAACCATAGAGAGTTACGTGGAAAAGAGACTTGGTAACTGCTTCGGCCCAGCTAATGGGAAGAAAATGATCGTGTTCATCGACGATATAAATCTTCCGGAAATCAATTGCTGGGGCGATCAAATCACCAATGAAATCGTTCGGCAGACCATCGATATGGGAGGATTCTATAATCTTGAGAAACCCGGAGAGTTCACGAGCATCGTCGATATGCAATTTGTTGCTGCAATGGGACAACCAGGTAAATTGCAATAACTTATAATATAATTAAGATAACTAATCTTTTTTAGGTGGCGGTCGAAATGATATTCCTTCACGCTTGAAAAGACAATTCTGCATATTCAACTGTTGCTTACCCACTGACACTTCAATCGATAAGATATTCAGTGTAATCGGACAAGGGCATTACAACGCCAAGAGAGGATTCAGTTTGGAAGTTCGTAACTTGATTAAAAAGCTTATTCCATTGACAAGAGTACTCTGGAGAACCACTCGCACGAAGCTTCTACCAACTCCAGCGAAATTCCATTACGTCTTCAGTCTCAGAGATCTATCTAGAATTTGGCAAGGAATGGTACGTATATTCCAATTTATTCAAACAAAATTTATTAATATTTCTTACTTATTAAGATTGGTACTTTATCAACTGTAATTGAGTCTGAAGCATGTTTGATGGTCTTGTGGAAGCACGAATGCACACGAGTATTTTCTGATCGCTTCACCCTGATGGAGGACAAGGATTGGTTCGACGAAGAACTGTTGAATTTGGTCGAAACTAGTTTAGGTGCAGAATATAGAACCATGACTTTACCAAGTCCAGTTTTCGTTGATTTCATGAGGTAATGAAATATACAAGAGGATCAGATTTTGTTAATTACAGATATTTCTTAGAGATGCTCCTGAACCCACCGGAGAAGAAGGTGAAGACGCTGATATGGAACTTCCGAAAGTTTACGAACCGGTTAGCAACGATTCAGAATTAAGAGATAGATTGGATATGTTTTTGGCGCAATTCAATGAAATGGTGCGGGGATCTGGAATGGATTTGGTCTTCTTCCCAGACGCAATGTTGCATTTGGTGAAAATATCTAGGGTCATCAGACATCCAAGAGGAAACGTCATGTTAGTTGGTATAAGTATAAGATAAAAGATGTTAAACTTTGTGTTTACTATATTTATTTGAACAGGTGTTGGAGGAAGCGGAAAGCAATCTTTAACAAAACTCTCCTCGTTTATAGCCGGTTACAAAACCTTCCAGATATCTTTAACTCGTTCCTACAACATAGGAAACTTCTTGGAGGATTTGAAGATCCTGTACAGGTCGTGCGGTTGTCAAGGTAAAGGGACAACTTTCATCTTCACGGATTTCGATATCAAAGAGGAGAGTTTCCTCGAGTATCTCAACAATATTCTTTCGTCCGGCGTAATATCCAATTTATTCACCAAAGACGAACAATCTGAAATCATACAGGAGGTGACTCCGTTCATTCGCAGAGAGAATCCAAAGAGGACGTTGAACCACGAGGTCGTGATGGAGTACTTTATGAACAGGACGGTGCAGAATTTGCACGTGGTCTTCTGTTTTTCGCCGGTTGGAGAAAAGTTTAGGAACAGGGCTTTACGGTTTCCTGCTTTAATATCCGGATGTACAATAGATTGGTTCCAGCCTTGGCCCAAAGATGCACTAGTATCAGTGGCTCATCATTTCCTCTGCAACTTCACCATCTCGTGCACGGATCATGTGAAGCAAGAACTAGTCTCTGCTCTCGGATCCATCCAAGATGTTGTATCTTTAACTTCAACTGAATACTTCCAGAGGTTCCGAAGGGCCACGCACGTTACGCCCAAATCCTATTTGAATTTCATTGCAGGATACAAAAGTATCTACAAGAACAAGAAGGAAGAACTCAGCAGCGGCGCTTTGCGTATGGACACGGGCTTAGAGAAACTAGCCGAAGCTTCTAGTTCTGTGGAAACTTTGAAGCAGGATTTGGCTGTTATGGAAAAGGAATTAGCAGATGCTTCTAAAAGAGCTGAAACTGTTTTATCTGAAGTAACGGAGCGAGCGATGCAAGCGGAAATCGTTAAAGATCAAGTGCAGAAGGTTAAAGAGAAAGCCGAGAAATTGGTCATACAAATAGCAGAGGAAAAGGCTTTAGCTGAAGAGAAATTGGAAGCGGCGAAACCAGCCTTGGAAGAAGCTGAGGCCGCTTTGAATACAATCAAACCAGCTCATATTGGTAATCAAATAAATTAAGAAATTCATTAAGTTAACTTCACAAATTTTTAGCTACTGTCAGAAAATTGGGAAGACCGCCACACTTGATTATGCGAATCATGGATTGCGTTTTGATATTATTTCAAAGAAAATTACAATCGGTCGTTGTCGATCCTTCGGCGCAATCTCCCAAACCTTCTTGGCCCGAATCTCTCAAAGTAAATTGAATATTTATAAAGGTGTTCTCTTTAATTTTATCTTTTATTTTGAAGATGATGGCATCCACGACGTTCCTGCTTCAGTTGCAAAACTACCCCAAGGATATGATTAACAACGAGATGGTCGAACTGCTTGAGCCGTACTTTGAAATGGATGATTACGTTATGGACACCGCTAAAAGAGTTTGCGGCGACGTGGCCGGTCTTCTGTCTTGGACCAAAGCGATGGCTTTCTTCCACAGCGTCAACAAAGAGGTGCTTCCGCTGAAAGCCAACTTGAAGCTTCAAGAAGCTCGTTTGAATTTAGCCATGGAGGATCTGGCGAATGCGGAACGGCAATTGGAAGAAAGGGAGCAGTCTTTAATGGAAGTTAAGGATCAGTACGACAAAGCAGTGATGGAGAAGCAGACGTTGACGGACGCGGCAAACAACTGTTTGAGGAAGATGAACACGGCCACGGCTCTCATCAACGGTTTGGGCGGAGAAAAGTTAAGGTGGACTTTGCAGAGTAAAGAATTCAAAGAGCAGTTGGGACGTTTAGTTGGGGACGTTCTCCTTGCCACTGGGTTCTTATCGTATTGCGGACCTTACAACCAAGAATTCCGAGCCGGTTTAGTAACAACTTGGTCGAAAATATTGGAACGCCACGAGATTCCGTACACGAAGAATCTCAATATCATTAATATGTTAGTCGAGAACTCGACAGTGTCTGAGTGGACATTGCAAGGTCTTCCAAACGACGAATTGTCCGTGCAGAACGCTTTGATAGTAACCAAATCCAGATCGTATCCGCTACTAATTGATCCTCAAACGCAAGGGAAAATGTGGATCAAGAACAAAGAAATGAATAACAATCTGAAAATTACTTCGTTGAATCACAAATACTTTAGAACACATTTAGAAGATTGCTTATCTTTAGGTAAGATTTCTGCAATATTTATTAGAATTGTCTGTCATAAAATTTATTTTTATTTAAATAGGAAGGCCGCTGCTGATTGAAGACATCGACGTGGAACTTGATCCTGTGATCGACAACGTTTTGGAAAAGAATTTCATCAAATCTGGATCCATTGAAAAAGTGGTGGTCGGTGATAAAGAATGCGACGTGATGAAAGGATTCATGTTGTACATAACAACGAAATTACCGAATCCTCCGTATTCTCCTGAAATTAGCGCTAAAACTTCAATTATAGATTTCACAGTTACTATGCTAGGTACCAAAGGTAATCAATAATTAAGAAACTATTTACTAATTCTTTATAATTTAGGATTGGAGGATCAACTCCTGGGTCGAGTTATTCTGATGGAAAAATCCGATTTAGAATCGGAACGCGTTGCATTGTTCGAATGCGTGATGCAAAACCAACGCAGAATGAAAGATCTGGAAACCAACTTATTGTGCAGATTGAATTCCACTCAGGGATCGTTGGTAGATGACGAAGAGCTCATTAATGTGTTGCAGGTGACCAAAGCGACAGCTGAAGACGTTAACCAGAAGCTTTCAGTATCTGTGCATACAGAAAGAAAAATTAACACAGCTCGAGAAGAGTTCCGATCCGTTGCAGCAAGAGGATCGATTTTATACTTTTTAATCGTCGAGATGAGCAACGTGAATGTGATGTACCAGAACTCGCTGAAACAGTTCTTGAACATCTTCGATAATTCCATAACAAAATCAACGAAAAGCTCCGATACTGACGAACGAATCTGCATCATCTTAAAATATTTAACTTACGAGGTAATTAATCTTAAATCTATTGATTCATTTAGTAAACGCTTGATTTAGGTGTGGAAATTTACTCAAAGAAGTTTATACGAGAAACACAAGGCACTGTTCACTCTGATGATGGCCATGAAAATAGATCTTCAGAAAAACGTTATATCGCACGAAGAGTTTCTGGCCTTCATCAAAGGCGGAGCCTCTTTGGATTTGAACGCTGTTACGCCGAAACCATTCAAATGGATTCTAGATATAACATGGTTGAACTTGGTCGAGATCAATAAACTGGATACATTCTCGAAAATTCTTATTAAAGTAAACCATATTATATAATGTATTTTTTTTTTAGAAAAGTTAACGTTTGATAAAATCTTTTTAGATCGAGACCAACGAAAGAGATTGGAAGAATTGGTACGAAAAAGAACGACCCGAGGAGGAGATAATCCCTTGCGGTTTCGAAAAATCTCTTGATGTTTTCAGGAAATTATTATTGATACGTTCTTGGAGTCCGGACAGGACGTTGTCTCAAGCACGAAAATATATTATGGGTGAAATATTCAATTCGCATTTATTAAATTAGATAAACTGAAGATTGATTTTGGTTCTCAGATTCGCTGGGAAATGAATACGGTGAAGCATGCATTTTGGATTTGGAAGCGACTTGGATGGAATCCGAACCGAGGACTCCTCTGATTTGCATTTTATCCATAGGTTCAGATCCATCGCCGCAAATAACTTCTCTGGCTAAAGTTAAAGACATGCGTAAATCTAGTTTTTCAATTTGAAGATGTTAATTGTTAAACCTTTATTGTTTTGCAGCTCTTAAAGCGGTTTCGATGGGGCAAGGGCAAGAGGTTGTAGCCAAAGATATGATCATGTCGGCGATGGCGGATGGAGGTTGGGTTCTTCTGCAGAATATACATCTGTCTTTACCGTTCGCCACGGATGTTATGAGCATGTTAGTGGATACTCAAAATGTTGAGGACAGTTTCAGAATTTGGCTTACAACCGAGGTTCACGAGCAGTTCCCGATAGGACTCTTGCAGATGGGCATCAAATTCACCAATGAACCTCCTCAAGGGATCAGAGCTAGCTTGAAACGCACCTACCAGAACGTAACTCAAGATTACTTAGATTATTCAGCACAGTATCAATGGCCTCCGCTTCTATACGCCTTAGCCTTCTTGCACACTGTTATACAAGAAAGAAGAAAGTTTGGACCTTTAGGTAAAACTATATATTATTGACAAATCTTTTAAGTTTATGTATTGAATATCAAACAGGATGGAATATTCCATATGAATTTAATCAAGCCGATTTCGCTGCGAGCGTACAATTCGTGCAGAACCATTTGGATGATATGGATCCTAAGAAGGGAGTGTCTTGGCCAACCATGTGTTATATGCTAGGAGAAGTGCAATACGGAGGAAGAGTCACCGACGATTTCGATAAACGACTTCTAACAACTTTCACACAAGTAAAGTTTTATTTTTATAAAAAAAAATCTACCAATACTTATTAAAATCTTTTTAGGTATGGTTCTGTGATGTTCTGTTGAGACCTGGCTTCGAATTCTACAAAGGCTACAAAGTTCCTCAAACCAGAAACCTGCAAGGCTATCTGGATTACATCTACAGTTTACCGTCAACTGATTCTCCTGAAGTGTTTGGGCTACATTCAAATGCTGATATTACTTATCAAATAAACACAGCTAAAGGTATATTGGATACGATTTTAAGTGTGCAACCTAAAGAGGGGGGAAATCAAGGTGGTGAAACGCGTGAAAGTATTGTCTATGCTTTGGCCGATGATATGCTGGAAAAGCTGCCGAATCAATACAACAATTTCGAGGTAAAGGAAGCTTTGCAAAGGATGGGACCTTTGTTGCCAATGAACATATTCCTCAGGCAAGAAGTCGACAGAATTCAAAACGTTATAAAAGAGGTACACTTATTAAAATATTAATTTACCGATAAGTTTTATTGATGATTTCACTTTCTGCTCTAGGTTCATTCTACTCTAAGTGATTTAAAGTTAGCAATTGATGGCACGATTGTTATGAGTCAGAGCTTAAGAACGGCTTTGGATGCTATGTACGATGCAAGAATCCCAGAACGTTGGCTGAAGGTTTCGTGGGAATCGGCAACTCTTGGGTTTTGGTATACGGAGCTTCTGGAGAGAGATGCTCAGTTCAGAAGTTGGTGTAATAAAGGTAGACCCAACGTCTTCTGGATGACAGGTTTCTTCAATCCTCAAGGTTTTTTAACGGCGATGCGACAGGTATTTATATTAAACAATTTTTTAATATGAAAGCTTAATATTTAATTACTCTATTACAGGATGTTACAAGAGCCCACAAAGGATGGGCTCTAGATTCGGTCGTGTTACAAAACCACATTACAAAGTACAACAAAGAGGATCTCAAGGATGGTCCTGCGGAGGGCGTGTACGTGCATGGATTGTTCTTGGAAGGCGCTAGCTTGGATAGGAGATCTGGCAAACTCATAGAAAGCAAACTGAAAGTTCTTTACGAGCAGATGCCAGTAATTTTCATATTCGCAATTAACACGACGGCTGGAAAAGATCCGAAACTATACGAATGTCCAATATACAGAAAACCGCAGAGAACCGATCAAAAATACGTAGGATCCATAGATTTCGAAACGGATCACAACCCCAGACATTGGACACTTCGAGGGGTGGCTTTACTATGTGATATTAAGTAGATGAAACGTTACGCTTTATTAAATGCACTTAAACATTTATATTACAAATTATAAGATGTGAATAGAGTAATATATATTTTATGAAGCCTAAATGATATTATATAAATAAAATAGTAGAAAGATCCTAAGATTTCATTGCCGCTTTCACTTGTGCCTGTTGGAACTGCTGCTGCAGTCTCTGCAGGTTCTCATTGTGAGTGTCCTGTTTCTTCTCCAGCGTATTAATCTGATCATCAACTCGCTTCAGCTCCTTCGAGATAAACTCTATTCTCTTCGACACATTCTGTTTAGCCTCAACTAAATCAGTTTTGATTAGTACTGGCCCAATGGATTTGTACACCAACGCCTCCGCCTTCAGCAAATCCAATTCCTTCTTCACAATCTCATTCTCATTCAGCTGCCCATCCAATTGTTGTCTGCTATTAACAACCTTCTCCAATTCTGCAAATGCAGGTTAGTTATATTTGAAGCTTTTTAAATGTAATTTTACAATGCATACCTTTCTGGGCAAGCTTGAAGTTCTCGACTTCGCTCTGCAATTTCCTTTGGAACTCTTCCATTTTTCTATTTCTTTAAAAATCCTATATTTGGTAATGAATGAGCAAACCAGAATAAATTATAGCAATTGTCAAAAATCAAAACCCACATGTAGTAAATACCAACATTAAAAAAATATATGTATTCTCATCTAACGTTTATTTACCTTTTATTATAATAATATGCAGTATTTTCTGTATAAAATTGATAAACTCAAGTACATAAAAACTATGGATTTGTTAAAAATAAAGAGCATTACTAGAGTAAAGAAACATTTAGGGATTATTTAGATTAAAACGTTTACCAATTTTTAGTGGAATTTTTATTTGTTTTGGCGCTCAGTCGGCTTCCCCTAAATTTAAAAAATAACTGTCATGCGTGTAACTTGTAGGTTGTTGTGATGTTAATTCTTTTTATAATTTTAATTAAATTGTTTATGATAACTTCCATGCGAAAGGTAAATCAATTCCATATATAATTATGTGATGTTTAATGAATTATTGTAGTTCTAGATGTGTTTGCAATGACCTCTCCTAACAATAGCACAGTGGTTGACCAGGAGGAGGACATACATTTATCTGATGAAGAAGGTGGCATACGAATAGATGGAATTTATATTCCACCTCCACCAGTGCCCTACTGCAGTGTGGAAAATAAGGGACCTCGATTGATCATCACAAAAATCACAAATAACTTTTTCAAAAGTTATGGCACCAATAGGATCTTGGGTCCATTCCACAAGTGCTTCAATTCAATTGTTGGACCCAATGGAAGTGGCAAGAGCAATGTTATTGATTCTATGTTATTTGTGTTTGGCTATAGGGCTACCAAAATCAGGTCCAAGAAACTTTCAGTATTGCTCCATAATTCAGTGAAATATCCCAACATCACATCTTGCACTGTAGCAGTTCACTTTGCAGAGATCATTGATAAGGTTTGATGAAAATATATGTTGAATAATTGTTTAATATAATCAAAAAAAATTGTAGGAAGGTGATGAGTATGATGTAGTCCCAAACAGTGAGTTTATTGTAGCAAGAACAGCAAATAAGGATAATTCATCTTTTTATACATTGAATGGCAAAAAGACACTGTTCAAGGAAATTGGGACTTTGCTAAAAAAACATGGTATAGACTTGGATCATGACAGGTTTTTGATTTTACAGGTAATTTAGTTTTTGTTAATTATGTGTTGATACATTACCTATAATTTTGACAAAATTTAAGGGTGAAGTTGAGCAAATATCTTTGATGGCTGCAAAAGGAACGGATTCTGAACCAGGTATGCTTGAATATCTGGAGGATATAATTGGAACATCCAGATACAAGGTTCCACTCGCGCAATTAATAAATAGAGTCGAAAGTTTATCGGAACAACGGGTGGAGCGGTTGAACCGTTTGAAGCTTGTTGAAACCGATTTGAAAAGCTTGGAGGGACCAAAGGATCAGGCTGTGGCATACCTGAAACTAGAAAACGATATAGTCGTTAAGAAGAACTTGTTGCTCCAGAAGAATGTGTAAGAATACTTTGTATGATTATTTAAATCTTAAATCATTAAAGAAATGTCGTAGATCGCTTTTCGCAGAGAACATCAAGAAATCTGAAGAGAATAAATTGGAAATAGATGTTGTTGTTGAAGAGATAACGGAGAAGCTGAATAATATAGCGTCTGAGATCAAATCCGTAACAAATTCTCTCGATAAGGTAGCAACGGACTATGAAAAACTGAAGAACAATAAAGAAAAATTGAAAGAAGCATTCGCCATGGCGAACAACGAGGATCTGAAACTGCAGGAGAACATGCGTCTGGCTAATAACAAGAGGAAAAAATTGAAGCAGAATTTGATCGCAGAGGAGAGCCGGTTCGAATCATATCAGAAAAACCCCGAAGACGTCGAGAAAGAAGTCAAAGTTTGCGAGGAAATGGCCGAAAAGATGTCCCAGAAAAAGGAAAAGTTGCAAGCGGATCGCGTTGAGATGCTGAAAAGTCTGGTCGATGCCACTAAAGAGTTGCAGGAGAAGAAAAAAGACATGGAAAACGATTTGGCAGAATTAAAGAAAAGTCTCAATGCACTCAATACTACAGTAAGTAGTTATTACTTGAGTAACAATTCAATATTAAAACATGTTTTCTTTTATTCTAGTATACTGTTTCCGCATCTGAATTGAATCTGTATGTGAGAGATCAAGAGAGTGAGAGCAAAAAATTGCAGAATATTAAGCAGAGTTATGAATCGGTTGAGAGTAAAATACAGCAATACTCGGCGGAAATAGAGAAACTTAAGAAGATGTTGCCAGAGAACGAAGCGAATCTTAGTAAAGCCAATAAAGAGTTGCAAGCAATTAAAGTTGACGAAGGGAATGTGATCAGGGACGTGAATAAGAAACGATCTATGTTGGAGGAAAAAAAGTCTGCGATGCAAGCGACTAGATCCAGAGGACGCGTTTTGGATGCTTTGATGAGACAGAAAATCGAAGGAAATTGTCCTGGACTCTTCGGTCGATTGGTAAAGAATATTGATTATATTTTAAACAATTTATTATATATTTATTGGGAATTTTTAGGGTGATTTAGGAGCAATTGATGGGAAATACGATGTGGCAGTGTCCACGGCTTGTGGACCTTTGGATAGTATAGTCGTCGATACAGTGGAGACCGGTCAATGGTGCATTGAGTTTTTGAAGAAACATGATATAGGCAGGGTTACCATTATCGTATTAGAAAAACAAGAGCATTTGAGAAGACATTACCAAACCCCTCTACAAACGTAACTACTAATATACAGTTTTATTGAAAGATTTTATAATTGTTCAATTATTGTTTTAGACCAGAAAATGTGCCAAGGTTGTTTGACCTAATTCGCGTAGAAGATGAAAGGATTAAACCTGCGTTTTACTATGCGGTGAGAAATACTCTTGTAGCCAAAGATTTAGATCAGGGATCCAGAATTGCGTATGGTGCTCAACGTTTCAGGGTAGTAACACTTGGTGGAGATTTAATTGAATTGACCGGTAAGTTAGCAAAAGAGTTTAATGCAAGATCAGTGGATTTAATTAAATATGTATAGGTACAATGAGCGGTGGTGGTAGACAAGTTAGCCGTGGCAGAATGGGTCAATCTGTGGCCGTGTCCAACATTGATCCAAAGGAATTGGAAAGCATTGAGGATGAAGTAAACGAACTTCAACATAAGTTGCGGCAGATACAGCAGAAACAACCGATCCTGGAAAACACAGTCAGCGATTTGAGTTCGCAAATCAATCAGATGAATATTTCTTACCAAAAATTCAACATGCAATTAACTGTAAGTTAAAATTCACTTATCTGAAACTTTTAATTAATTAAATCTTCTCATAGTCTTTGAAAAGGGAAAAACACTTGTTGACCGACCAATTGCAAAATCAAGAGAAAACTGCGGCGAAAACCAAAGCCGATCCTTTGAAAGTCAAAGAAATGACGAGTCTGGTTGAGGAAAAGAAGGCTGCGTATGAGGAATCTTTAGATGCAGTGAACTCTCTTCAAACAGAAGTTACCGAAATTAATGATGAAATTAATCGACGTACTCAAGGCAAAGTAGAAGTGATCGATAAGAATATTAAAGAGACGACGAAATCCATTGAGAAGTTCAAGACAGAAATAACGAAGTTACGAGTCGGATTAACCACTGCCGAAAGGTAAATCAAATCATTTTTAAAAGAAAAATCATAATTTAATGTTTTTTACTTAGGAATTCTCAAAAGTCTGCCAAATTAATAGAAACCATGAAACAAGATATTACGAACGAGGAAAATTCGATGAAATCCATGAAAGTTAAGAGAGAGGAAATCGAGGAAGACGCAAAGAAGTTGCTCAAGTGTCTCGAAGAAGTCAACGTAGATTTGAGTAGTGGAGAGGAAGATTTTTCAGGTAATTACATTTTTTTTCTATAGCAGCAATTTTATTTAATTCCGTTTTGTTTTCTTATAGAATATAAAGCTAAAATTTCTGAACTGACCAAGACGGAAAATAAAATAAAAGGCGAAAAGATAGAGATAGATCAGAAGTTGAAGGATGTGACGGAAAAGTTGGAGGATAGCAGAGGAAAAGTGAATGTTTTGAAATCGAAAATTAAGCAATTACGGTTGCAATCGATTCCAGATGAAACTATTGGGGAGCTGAAAACGTACAGTGAGGAGGAACTGGAAGAGATCGAGTTGAACACGATACAAAGACAGTTAAATGTATACGAGGATGAGTACAAGAAAGCCAATCCCAATCTGGAAGCTATTGTCGAGTACAAGAACAAGCAGACTGTCTTCATTAAAAGGACGGAGGCGCTGCTGGAGATCACCGAACAGAGGAATAAAGTACGCGGTTACCACAACGATTTACACGCGCGCAGGAAGCAGGAATTCGTGACGGGCTATAACATCATTAAGATGAAGGTGAAAGAGATGTACCAGATGATCACGATGGGCGGGGATGCGGACTTTGAGATGCTCGATACCTACGATCCCTTCAACGAAGGCATTCAATTCAGGTAAGCAGTAATTACGTGAATTTAATTCATATAATACGACGATTTTCCGTAGGGTGAGACCTCCGAAGAAAACGTGGAAATTGATAACGAACTTGTCGGGCGGCGAGAAAACCCTATCCTCGTTGGCTCTGGTTTTCGCTTTGCATTACTACAAACCATCACCGCTGTACGTGATGGATGAAATCGATGCAGCATTGGACTTCAAAAACGTGTCGATTGTAGCGAACTACATCAAGGAGCGCACTAAAAACGCCCAGTTCATAATCATCTCGCTAAGGGCGAACATGTTCGAACTATCCGACCGCATGATTGGAATCTACAAGATCTTCAACATCACCAATTCCGTGGCTCTGAATCCAAAGAGCTTCGACCAAAACCGTACTGCACATTCGGAAGAAACGAACGACCAAAACGACGTTGTACTTCAGAACGAAGTTGTACAGAACGGCAGTTTATTAAATACGTCCGTAACAGCAACAGCAGCCAATTCCTAAATTGTTTTCAGATTTTATTCTCCAAATATTTTTTTTTTCTTTTTAATATTTTACAAATAAAACCAGTTATGTTTTGTATAAAGAAATGGAAATTTTATTTTAGACTTCTTCGAGAAACAGAAAACAAAACACATACCTTATACAAATATATATATAAAAAAGAACAATCTTAATTAATTATAATTGTGATTATAATAAGAGAATAAGCAACAACGAAAATGGTGTCAAATGTAGTAGTTTCATGGTCCAAAATAAACACAGAATAGGAAGATATATAAATATATCAAATAGGCGAACGGCGATTTAACAAAAAAAATAAATAGAAAAATAATTTACAAAATACATTCTTCTTTAAAGCTATTATTATTATTTCTCTCGAGTCCGTGTGGGAGGGATGTTGCAACACATTGTATATATATATGTATATAGATCAGTTGTATGTTTGATGGTACCCGCCATTTTTTCCCTTTTGTTTATAACATTTTGAACTTAATTCCAACAAACACATAAAATATACTCTAAACAAAAATAACAATAAATATATCATGCATCATGCAAACGTAAATTAGAGTTATTACATAGCGAAAGGAATTAGATGACCGTCATCTGGTCATCACTTCGCCGCAAAGATCGGATTGAACACTTGCGGAAAGTCGTTAACTAGTGTCTCCATGAACTGATTGGTCAAATTCTCGGATTCTGTAATTTTGAATTAGATAAAGGATTGAAGAAATTATATTAAATAATATAGGTATTAGAAGAAAAAAAACACTGACCTTTGTCGGAAAACTGCTTGTTGGAATAGATATGAACTATTACTTTGCTAACGCTCTCCAGGTGTGTTCTTAAAACAGGATTCTCCTCCTTGTAGAGCTTGAATAAACATTTAACTATAGCCTCGTTCTCTTGGAAATCCGTCTTGAGCGGTAAATGTTGGATGAGCACCTCGAAGACCTGATCCAAAGGTACTAGACTCGAATTGTTGATGATCATTTTGGCTAATGCACTGCAAATATTGTCCATAGTACCCGCATGCGATTCCTTCGTTATCATCATCGACAGTCCAACCAAAATATCCGAATATTTCCTATAGTGCAGTATTAAGGAATAACATATTCAAAGTTAAAGTTTTGCAAAATAATTAAGAAGTACGCCTCTCAAGAATTGATATAAAAAGGATACGAATACAGGCAATCCCTTCCATGGAAAATCATTTCGCCTAATCCATATACCGAATTGTTGCGAACCTCTTCACTGGAATCTTTCGTTCCGGCTTCCCAGAGATGCAACAACTGCGGCACAAACTTCTCCACATAGGTGCTCAATGGCTTCATGCATTCTGCTAGAGTACCATAAGCAAAAGATCTTTGGCTGATGCTAATAGTGTTTTTCTAAATTAAAAAAAAAATAGAATTAATATAGACAAACAAAAATAAGATTGCAAGCACTTACAGCACGAATTGTTAACAATTGAAGAATGTTGGGGAAATAGCAGAAGAAATCGTCCGGCCTGAGAGCGTTACCAAACTTTGGTATAACTTCACCCGCACATTCTAGGAGTAGTTCTGTCTGCTCTGATTCCTCTTCATTCATAACACCTTCAGCACCAACGTCATGATCTTGACAAACAGTCTAAAAATACAGATTACAGAATAAACAAAAACTTCTTTATGAGCAAGATAAAAAAAAATACCTTGTGAGTTAAAATATCAATAACGCAATTCATGATTGCTTCCCGGTGTCCATCACCGACCAACACGTCGCCTTTAATTTCCTCCAAAAGATTGGCAAATGCGTTTAAGGCATTCATGACAATGTTCTGTTCTTCGTCTGACCTGATCAGTTCGGAGCATTTTGGAATGAACATTTGCAGAGCTTTGTACAAAGCATCCTTTCCGGTGTTTGCAGAATAAAGGGTGATGCAGAATTGTTCAAGTGCCAAAATAGCCGCGATCCTGATATCATCTTGGGGATAGTTTACCAGTTTGAAGATTTCCTCGAAGCTCTTATCCATGAACGGTAAGTAATCGGAACCCATATGCTTGCAAATTTCAGTAATCGACAAGCAGGCTTGTTCTTTCTCTTCATTGTAAGAGTTCTCCACGGTATACCTACATTGCGTGTCGTCGCTGCTCTCACTTTCACCGTCGATATCCTCTTCACCATTATCGGAGTCCGAAAGTTCATCGTAAATATCCAACCCGTCGGTTTCTTCATCCACATAGTGAGCCTAAAGCAATAAAATATAAATAAAGAAAACTTATACAAATAAATATTACAATTTTATAATCAAATCTAAATGTATATTTCAAGTGATGCAAAACTAGAACAGCAATAGAAAATCTTAATTGAAATTTCCTGTTTAGAATTTTATACACATGAATTTGATTATTTCAAGAACACCAGTTCTGATAATGTGTAGAAAAGTAAGAGGTTTATTATCTTTGTAACTACTATTAAAAACGGAATGCTGAAAGCTTTCAAATTGGAACTGATCCAAATTTAAGTAATACCGCCTTTATATATATTTGAAATAACTCGAGGTTGTCTGATTTATAGCAAATTGCTATTTTTTTATATAAGCAAGAATATTTTACTAGATAAACACAAACAGCACTTACAATAATTCCGTCACTACTTTGAATGGTGTTGATCATGGCTCCGATAATTGTATGCAGATCCCCAGAAATGTCGCTTTTCATAACGCTGCATAAAGCAGCGAAAAGAGGATACAGACTTTTCCTAACATCAGGGTCATCGGTTTCGCTCAGAATCTTTAGAGCAGTTTGCAATGTCTGCGGTGCCAATGGCTTAAAATGTTCCGGTTCAATATTATCAACAATACTGGCCAAACATTCTAAACAAAGTAAATAGATATTAATAACGTGTTTATCGCAGACATATTTATGTTAAGAATTGAGAGTATTTGAAAATTTTAATTACCTAAGGCATATGATTGCAACTCGATGAGATCTCCATTAGGATCGGCGTTGATGTAAATCGTTAAAATCTCCATAAGTTTATCGAAGTAAGGTAAAATCTTATCCTTGACTGCACAGGCGACAGAGTCTAAAGTGCTCAGCGCTAATCGTTTGAGTTTTAAAGACCAGCTGTTAGGATGTAATGCAACTAATAAGGTATCCATGAGTGTGGGTAGGAAAGGTAAAAGACCATCATCCAGATGCATGCAGAAACTTTGTAAGGCATAGAACATCCTCTCGAGCCCATTTGGTTCAGGCTTGTTCTGGCCCATTGAAGAGTAGACTTGTGTTAAATGTTCAAAGAACACAGGCAACAGCTCAGCTGAATACTGGCTGATCTCAGGTTGCAAATGTTCAGAGAATTGTCCTAAAGCAAAAAATGCGGCATTCCTGACGACGACGGTCGGATTCCTGATGCCATTGTAGATGCACTTCAGGAAAGACTCCAAGTATTTGTTCCTAATATGCTCCGAGCAGCCTTCGGCAAGTACAGCCAAAGCGAGGTACGCAGCTTTCTGGGCGTAAACATCGTTGGTCTGCAAAGCAGGTTCAATTCTGGTCAGTATGAAAGGTACGACCTTCTCGGGCGGCACGTACAGTGCGATTAGGTCTAAGGTCTGAGCTGCTACCGTCGTCGAGGTGAACTGATCGGGATCACCTTCAAAGTACTCTTCGTTAATATCATCCTCCGGTTGATGCGCCATCAATTGCATGACGACATCGATGATCGGTTCGATCAGTTTATTCTTCTGGACAACCTTGCTCTTTGAGCGGATCAACCAGCCAACTACTCCAATTGCCTTGATCTGAACACTAACATCACGCTCCTTGTTGCTGCCGATTTGCAAGCACATCTCAATTACAAGCCTCACATGTGGAACAATCACAGCTACGGCGTATTCAATCAACTCTTCAATGAGCTCGAACATTTCGCACGCGCGTTTCTCGTCATTTTGCGAGAACAAGTTGATCACTTCCAGCACGCGGGGCAACAACCCGTGGTAAATGTTAATCATCTACAACAAAACACAGGAAATTACGTCATCGAAATGGCATTGTTTTGTTCAGTATACATGATTCAGTTAACCAAGCGAAAAGATGAACAAATTAAATATTATTTTCAACTTAGCACATACATTTTAGGCTCAGTCGATAATTTAGTTTTATTCAAATCTTATAAGAAAAATGAATTTATAAGTGAAGAAAGATTTTAATGTTTAACTTATAAATTATCATCAATAACCGATTACAGTCAAAATATATATGTAATTTTGGTTATCAAACCCATTGCCGTTTCAAGTTTGATATCGTTTCTATATCACGTTTCTATTTAATAAACATTAATTTATAAACAAGACGCGAATGAATCCATCATGTGAACTTAAAAAAAACGATAAGGTTACATCCTCTTTGATATAAAATAAATATTTCGTAATAACATATCAATGTAACATGTAACACGTAATTTGTTTCAATACCTGTTGGTGTCCTCCAATGACAGAAACTAAATTCTTCATGGTGATGACTGTGTAGTAAGCCAAATTTGAGCTCAAATCTGGCAATCCATTCAGGATATTGATGAAGAGTCTAGCCATCTCCTCTGAATGCTCAATGTAACTTTCCTTAGATATCTCAGTCATAATAGATAATGTATACATTCCAAGCTAAAAATATGCAATAATTTTTCTATTAGTGTGATGTAATTCATACAACTGTGTTATAAATAGCATATGTTTAATTGAGCTGTAAACAGGCTTGACTCATAACACAAATGAATTCCAAAATGAACCAATGAGTCATGGCTTAATCAAGTAAATTACCTCTTTATCTAAAAGGTTGTCACTTCTGCACAGTTGATCTATGAATTGCAAAACCTCAGGCCATGTCTTGTTTGGGAACTCATGTTTTCCCAGGAGCCCAATGAATTGGGCAATGGAATTCTTCACCAACTTTTCAGGTTCATTGACCAGAGCTTGCAACATACCCCCCTTGATTCTGAAGACATTAATATAATTATTAATTATGTTCAATTATTTTTTTATATGGAATTGCTACCTGTTGCGAGTTTCCGCGTCCACTTTGGACCATTGATGTTTCTTAGCTAGTTTTCTGCGTAAGACGACGGCGGCAGTTTGCCGGACTTGAGGGCTGCCAGATGATACCAAGATGTCACAGAGAGCACCAATCGCCCCGGGCTTTTTGAAAGCCTCCTTGAGTTCCTTAGTACCCTAAACATGGTTAAGTACAATTAAAACCTGTCGATAGGTTGTTTGGAACGTATTAAAAGCACGTGCGGTCGTATAGGTTAGGAGGACAGCGCAGACTTAGCGGCGCTCCGGCTTAATGTCATGGACTCACCTGCTGTATGACATTGCTGTCTGCGACCAGCAATTTCTGCAAGATTTGTTCCATTTCAAAGAGAAATAATAAGCTTAAAATAAAGACAATAAAAGTCCGGCAATGATGCCACGCCTGGCCACGCTACACACTTCACCAACAAGAAACAGACGACAAACGTCAAAGTTTAGCCGACTTTAAATGCACTTAAAAACCAGACACAGTATTACCACCATTGATTAGATGACTACAAAAATACAAGTACCACACGACAAACATTACAATAGTATTTGGAAAAATGATATTATTGAGGAAGAAAAACACAATTCAAAATTAAATAATCACGCAATTGGAACGCAATTAAATCAACGATTAACTCCAAATGCATCTATTCCAATTAGGTTACGAAGTTCTTAAAATTATATAAATTATAGCAGTCACCGAAATGTCATTGGGTCATTGCTATCTCTGATCAAACATGATGCAGAAATTAAAATAATAAAGCGCAAATGAACTGGAAATAACCTAAATCTCAATAAGGATAACAATGAATCCGAGAAAGAAGCGATTGAAGAAATGCAAGTGAAACGCATGAAATGATGGCCAAGTGGTGGACGTGTATGTATCTCGTTTTCGCCTTTGCCGTTTCGCGAAGTTTCTGTGATACTTTTGATGGTGAAGAGCAGGAGGACAATTTGGAGTCACCGCTGTGCTGTAACCTTACAACCACAGAGAAACTAGAGATTGAGTACTCCTCCAAAGCTGTCGAGAATGAATACATAGTTACATTTGATGGATATTATAAGAACCAAGCAAGAGCCAGTTACATCAATGCAGCACTCAACAATTCCGGGATCAAGAAATGGAAAATCCTTTCCAGAGAGAATCCTGCCAGCGATTACCCAAGTGACTTTGATGTGGTGATTTTGGAGGATACAGAAATATTATCAGGTTTGTTTTGTGGGTTTATTATTAATTAACAATTATATAATATCTAATTCTTATAGGATTGGATGCATTGAACGATCATCCTTCTGTGAAAAGAGTGACCTCACAGCGCATGGTGCTTAGAACATTGAAGTTTATTAATAAGAATGAATATATTAGAACAGGAAGAAACAGTTTGTCACAGAACAGCCAATTTTGGCAGGCAACAGGGAGACATACAAGCAGAAGACTGCTGAGAGCAGTACCTAGACAAATTACGTCAGTGCTACAAGCTGATGCACTATGGAATATGGGAATTACAGGGAAAGGTGTTAAGGTGGCCGTGTTTGATACTGGCTTGTCGAAGACGCATCCGCATTTTCGGAAAATCAAAGAGCGAACGAATTGGACCAACGAGAAAACTTTGGACGACGGTTTGGGGCATGGCACATTCGTTGCTGGTGTCATCGCTTCGAGCAAAGAATGTCTAGGTTTCGCACCTGATTCGGAGTTGCATATCTTCAGGGTGTTCACCAATAATCAGGTGTCGTACACGTCATGGTTCTTAGACGCGTTCAACTATGCTATTTTAAAGAAAATCAACGTTCTGAATTTGAGCATAGGTGGACCGGACTTTAAAGATCATCCCTTCGTTGATAAAGTCTGGGAGTTGACGGCCAATAAAGTTATCATGGTCTCTGCGATTGGAAACGATGGTCCTTTATACGGAACACTTAACAATCCGGCAGATCAAATGGACGTGATTGGTGTAGGAGGGATTAACTTTGAGGATCAAATCGCCAAGTTCTCATCTAGGGGAATGACTACTTGGGAATTACCACAAGGTAATTAATGCACATTCTTAGATAAATAACGTATTAATTTGTTGTTTTTTTTAAGGATACGGACGCGTTAAACCTGACATTGTAACATACGGAGCTAATGTCAGGGGCTCCAATATCAAAGGAAGTTGCAGATCTCTATCCGGAACAAGCGTGGCTTCACCGGTAGTTGCTGGTGCCGTCACGTTGTTGGCAAGCGGTGTTCTCCATCGAGAAGAAGTGATAAATCCCGCTAGTATTAAGCAAGCGTTGATGGCTTCGGCACGAAGATTGCCAGGTGTAAATATGTTCGAGCAGGGTCATGGCAAATTGAATTTAGTAAAAGCATATCAAATTTTAAGCAGTTACAAACCACAGGTACCATTACACCAGAATCACTTTATGTGCACTTTTTCATTCTGTTTAATTGTTTTAGGCAAGTTTAAGTCCTAGTTATATTGATTTAAGCGAATGTCCGTACATGTGGCCGTATTGCACGCAACCTCTGTATGTTGGAGCGATGCCTGTTGTTGTTAACGTGACTATTCTGAACGGTCTAGGCGTTTCAGGCAAGATTGCCAGCAAACCGCAATGGTATCCGTACACCCCGCAGCAGGGTCAATTGCTGGATATAGCCATATCCCATTCAGAACTTCTTTGGCCATGGTCTGGATGGTTGGCGGTCAGCTTTTCTGTGAACAAGGATGGCGCAAATTACGAAGGTTTGGCGCAGGGACATATCAGCTTAACAATCGAATCTCCTCCAGCACACGGCGAAACAGAACCAAAGCAAACTGTTATTGTTCTTCCAATAAGGTAAATATTGATTTTTATAGATCATTTCACTTCTTTTGTACTTCTAGTTGCATAAAAACAAACTCAAAAATAATATAAGTTAACAGATCATAAACGTTTATTTTCTTTTGCAGAGCTAAAATAATACCAACTCCTCCACGGAACAAGCGTATCCTTTGGGATCAGTACCACAATTTGCGTTATCCGCCTGGTTACTTCCCCAGGGATAATCTGAAAGTAAAGAACGATCCGCTCGACTGGAACGGCGATCACATACATACAAACTTCAAAGACATGTACCAGAATTTGAGAAATGCTGGGTACTACGTAGAAGTTCTAGGCTCCTCGTTCACGTGCTTCGACGCCTCTCAGTACGGTTCGCTATTAATCGTGGATCCAGAGGAGGAGTATTTCCCTGAAGAAATTGCTAAATTGAAGAGAGACGTGGATGCTGGTTTGTCTGTTATTATATTCGCGGACTGGTATAACGTAACCGTTATGAGGAAGGTAAAGTTCTACGATGAGAACACTAGGCAGTGGTGGATGCCGGACACGGGCGGATCCAATGTTCCGGCGCTGAACGACCTTCTCGCCTCCTGGGGCATCGAGTTTGGAGATCGAGTTTTCGAAGGCGGTTTCAAGTTGGGTGACCATGATATGGTGTACGCATCTGGTACGAGCATCTCCAAATTCCCAGCCGATGGTTTGATCATATCGAGGCAATTGAAGGACCAAGGAGAACAAGTACGTCTTGTTTATTAAAAACTGATATAAATTCTCATATAATTTATTATTTATTTCTAAATTTCTCGGATAAATTCAAATGTTGTGTTAAATTTATGTTTTTCTCTTTCTTTGTAGATTGTGACTGAAAACGATGGAAAGGAAAAGCACGAGGTTCCAGTCCTCGGTTTGCTTCAGAGTAAAGCGACGGAGAAGAGCGGAAGGATAGTGGTGTACGGTGATTCGAATTGCATAGACGCCAGTCACTTGGAGCAACCGTGCTACTGGATGCTGGACGCAATCCTCGAGTACACCTCAACCACGCACCTTCCGTCCGTATTCAAAGACAACGCCATGAAGGACTTCTCCAGCAGGGTTTCGACGGACGTACCGCAACGGATGGAAGGCAACAGACTGTTCCGATACTCGAAGGTTCTCGAAGGTCATTTAGGTGAATCTCAGGCCAGAGCTCTTCCGCAGTGTCCGCACTTGGTGTACGCTCACGCGGTGCCGTTAAACATATCCGCCCCCACGGACTTTTATCAATCCCAAAAACTGTTATCCCTCATGGAGGAATCCGCCTTACCCGTAATTAAAGTTAATAATTTCGTAAGAGGTACGTAGAACCACCACACATTAGATCAACGTTGCGTTGTAATATGCAAAATAATACAACTCCAGCTTACAAATTGAACCCCCAATATCGTTACGTAATAATGACTGTGTGTCTGTATATGTGTGTTGTGTATTAGATGCGTCCGGGCAAGATAGTGTAGAGGAAGACATTTGGAATTGGCGCCAGAAGCAACACGACCCGTCGTCGCAAGTTACGAAACCGGAGAACTTTAATCTCACCTCGATTTTGCTAGTATGCCTCACCTTGGTCGTAATCTATCTGTGCGTTCGATGTTACAAACAGAGACCGAAACCGAAGCGACGGAAACCCAGGATCAAACGTCTACTAAGTATCCTGCAGTGTGGCCGAGTTCCGGCCGTCTAGCGTGCTTAATTACATAATTTCTTTTACCTTATCTCTCTCTCAATCTCTATTAATTGTGTTATTTTCTTTTTAATTTTATGTACGAATAGGAACAAATTAATTTTTAGTTTTATATACTTCACAATTTTTATGAATATATTATATATATATATTTGAAAGAAAGGAAAAGAACAACAGCAGAGAATACGAGAAGAATAAGAAATATTTTAATTTTGTGATATATTTTTTAATGTGATTTACACCGTGTATTTTTACATACATATATATATATACTATATTTTTTTGTATGTCCTTATAAGAAAAAAAAAGACCCTTAAATCCTAACATCACAACACACATTTTATACGTTATTACTTTTTATTTTATACATATTTAATTTAGCCCTAAAGGTTACCTAATTACGATTACATTATTTATTATTATTATGAATAATAAAACGCAAATTTCTTTCACAATCAGGAGTAAATATTATTGTTCCATTACAATTCAGATTTTCATTGATTTCGGTCATTATTATTAAAAAGTTTAAAACAAATATTTCTTATCATTAAACTTTATATTCTAAAGCATTGTGCATAAAAGATATGATCTTTCTACATATTTAATGCTTGTATATAAATGGTTTAAGAGCTAATGTCTGAAGACTTACAATTAAGGTCAATTTACATTTAAATACGCTTATTATTTCAATTGGACTTTTGGCAACAACAACAAAAGTATAATTTGAAGAGATTCTTTAATTCAATTATATCAATATACAGGAAAGTATCGATTTTTTAAAAATATATGCCAGTACCACATATATCTTTCTACCCTGCACCTCCACCCTTGTTAACTTCGTCAATTATTTAAAACAAATCTGTATTCCATAATTCAGAATAATACAACATAAATTTCTATAATTTCCCAAATATTAAGTTTCTCTTTGATTGACAATTAGTTGTACTAATTGTATTGTCGATTCACAATGGGTTCACAAATATAGATAATAAAGTGTACAGATATTACATCCGACACGAATCCTTATCTTTCTTTTTTTTTCAATATTTGTCTGAGTCATACTGTTCGTATGGTCGAGGGGATTTTGTTGAACACTTGGTGTGTATTATTATTATTTTTTTAAGCAAAGAAAAACGAAATAAAAATGAAAGCGAGACTAGATTACGCATTTGCCGTTCGTTAATCACTCGCGTGTGTGCACTTATTACTAATTCCCCACAAAATATGTACGTCAAACAGTGATTTCCTTTCGTATTCTTAGTAAGTTTGCTTTTCTGGAGTGTTCGGATTAATCTATGTCACATTTAAAGGTAATCTAGTTCGTATCTCACACAATAAAACGACCAAAAACTTATATCTAATTCGTGGCTGTATAAACGGCAAATAATATAGTTCAACTCATTGAATTATTTTCTTCGGTACATTCACTTTCTCCTCGAACACCTCATGCGTTCATTTCATACTTTATTACGATAACGTTTTTAATTATTGACTTTATTGAGATATCAGTGCTTCAAGAACAATCGAATTATTAACAATGAATTTTATTTTCCTGTTGCATCTTAAAACAGATTTTAAATCTCAATTCATTATTTATTTAACGAAAATACGTTTAAATATAGTGGAACCTCGCTTAACGAGTTTATTTTGTTCCAAAATATCCGGATTTATACTCGTATAGTGAAACATATTCAAAAATACACATAATAAAAAAAAAATGTAGCAGGCGCGCGCGGGACTTCTCTTCTCATCGTCACTCGTTGTGCGAAATGTCGCTCGTTAAGCGAGTCATTTTGCTTACAATTCACTTTGCTCGTTAAGCGAGGCACCACTGTACTTCAATATATTGATATCATCCATCTACTAACCTCTACGCACATTGCTTAACTACCGATAATATCTGACGTTTCACAAATTATAAAATTGCTTATTCTGTCATTTTACCAAACATTGTTAAATAAACAAAGTAGTTAATTTAATGTAAATTACCTTACGAATTCTTGAAGTCAGAAAAAATGTTGAAGTTAAGACAAATTTAATTGCAACGCAGTTTCTCTTTTCATTTCAAATATTTCAAGAATGCAATTTTTGTATTTTGATATTATGTCGAAAATGATAATTTTGTTTTCACGGCAATCTCGATAATTGCAAATACTTTCCGAAACAAAAGTGAGATAACTTTTATTTTACGTGATCGCAAACAAACACAATGCAAAGTGTAAGTCAACTACATTCATTTAGAATTAGTCAATAGCGTCGAAACACAATAAGATTATGATTATTTGATTAATTATTTCGTAAAAATTGAAGTAATGCAATTACGAAATAATTAATTTTGATTATTCTATTTCAAATTTGTTTCCTATACATACTATGTAATAATTAATAATTCTTTAATTATTAAACAATAACTTTTTTTTTACAAAATTATGTAGTGTGTTAAAACTTTAGTAATTAACTAATTAACTTAATCTTCTTAATGACTAAATATGATATATGTATCAAAATTAATAAATATCATTTTTATTGACAGTAATTGCATTACTTCAATTTTTACGAAATAATTAATTTTGATTATTCTATTTCAAATTTGTTTCCTATACATACTATGTAATAATTAATAATGCTTTAATTATTAAACAATAACTTTTTTTTACAACATTATGTAGTGTGTTAAAACTTCAGTAATTAACTTAATCTTCTTAATGACTAAATATGATATATGTATCAAAATTAATAAATATCATTTTTATTGACAGTAAAATTGTATGCAATATGTTTATGTAGAAACGTTGTAATAAAAGAAGGAGAAATATTTCGTCATTGAAGTCCAACAGTTTCCAACAAATTTATTGATAAAAGTAACAAAAAAAAAAGAATAAATCTTCAAAACATTGAAATTTCGAAAAACTTTGAATACAAAGTTTTGAACTAATTTTAAATATATATTAACCATATTTTTCATTTGCAAAATTTCGTGAATAATAATAATATCTAAAAACTTTCCAATCATGTCAACATAATAACTGTGTTATACACATATCGATAGAATCGTGTCCGCCTAATTACACAGATAAGAATCGATGCGGCGCTGTGATTTAATAATAATTTCGATTTAATTGGAATTCGATTCGACGTTGCAGGCGAAAAACAAAAACGATGAATAATTTCAGGATAACTGGAAAAAAAAAAGAAGCTGCGGCTCGTGCGATTTCGGTTAGCTGATAGTATTCATACCACTGCACCGTTTTCCCCATCCAATTTGCCAATAAATAAAACGGCATCCGATAAACCGGTGAGCCGTGAACGCGAAAGTCCGGATCAGTTTACAGCGAATCGAACTTGGAAATCGTTTCATTCACATCGAATATCCCTTATTTTTTTTTTTCGTAGGAAGTACTCATTCAAATTATCTATGAATAACATTCAGTAATCTTAATCCCTGCTACGGAGATTTAATCGCTGCATTAATAGTAATATTATTATTATTATATGACTTCCTTAATATTTAGTTGCAATTGTTTTTCTTTACCTAATCTAGTAGGTTTTATGTAACGTAAAAGTCAAATGTAAACATCAATATCAATGTCATTTTTATGAGAGTTGGTAACCATAGTGATGAAATATTGTTTAATAGTTAGTGAAAGTTAAGCAACTATTGTCGTTTCAATAATAACAAGTTAGTTGTGTGCTTTAATAATTCATTTATTTAATTTAAATTAGATTCATTAGGTAGAAAACTATCGGATTTAATAATTTATAAAAAAAAACAAATATTTTCATAAAAATCAAGTCATAACGACAAATTTCAATTAAGTCAATAACTTTTCACAATGTTAAATCTGCAAATAAATATTAACAATTTCATTTAATTGGTGGCTCTGATCTAACTTTTACTAATTAAATTATATTTTTTAAGTTGTATTAACCGCAGACTTTCTACCTGGATTTATATTATAAATTTTCATTATATTGAGAAGAAATTACATAATGTAACACAACAGAAAATGACTTTGCACTAAATCATTAATGAATAAACATTATCGATTAAAATTTCTCATCTCTATACGTTTCGTAATTCATGATTATTAAAACAAAATCAAATTGGAGATGATTCATATGAAATGATTAAAGTGTATATGAATTTATCTATTTTACATGTTTATTAGTTCAATAATTATTGCCTTAAAAATGCCCTGAGTCATATTTGAAATGTTGAAACTCTGATGTTCTTGCGACATTCGTAACTGTGTAAGTCTTCGTAGATTTATTTGTTATCGAGAGGTTTTCTTATGCTTCACTGATTGCATAGGAAACGTGAATTGACCTGATGATAGCAATGTGCACGATTTAATTGATCGAATGCAAAGATCACGGTTCTTTAATTACGTAAGAATGAGATGTTTCTCGATCAACACACATTTCGACGCGTTTTCAAGAAATTGGAACGTCGCTATTATTTACGTAAGTAAATATAAAACAATAATAACTTAAAAAAAAAACAGTGTCGAATACATAAAATATTGTCAGTTTGTTCTCTCTGCTGTCTCGCTCGCACGTTTTTCAAATAGAATTATTTCATGTGCGATAAGATACGGGGGACACTTCAATAGATTAATTGCGAATCGTAGGTGTCTGAGTGAATTTTCACAGTTCCAGGTGGTGATCCGAGCGAAAGGAACCTCGGAGTGATTTAAATTAGGAGGAGAATTATATCCTGAAGGTGCCGATATTTCGAAGATGTATTGCCGCAGGTAGAGAAGTGTGGTTTTATTGTTTTTTTTATTTGGGGGATTTGCGAAGAAAGCTGCAACATGGATCTGGAATCGAGGATGAGCGTCGCGACGACGTCGGGTCAAGGGAATTTGGCCGAAGGTACGTTCAGGAGGCGGACGACGGAGATCCTCCAGTTCACGGAGAAGACGTGGAGATGGTCGTACTTGAAGGTGAGTTCGCGGAGAGTGCGTGAGTCGAAGCTTCCAATTGGAACCGTCGAGGGGAGTAGCAACGCTCTTTCTCTCACCCCGCCAGAAGGGGGTTGCAGAGAAAGAGGAGAGAACTAATCAATAAACCATTTCGGAGTCGCAGCGGCAAAAACCCCCTCGACGGTTTCGCATTCAAACAAAAAACCATGCAATTCTCCTCGTCCCGGTGCGAAACGAGGAGGAAGAGAAAAATTGACCAACATTGAAGCCCTAATTATAGCCGGACTCGCATTATAAATAAGTTTTCTGCACGCCCCAGTAGTGTATTTACGTTTTTCGGTGAGAGAGCGCAAGAGAGAAATAGGGATTCTCGTTCGGGTAGCTAGCTGTGAGTGCAATCTGGAAACATGCGACGACGATCCTTGCTGAAATACCAGCAGGACGTGCACGTGCTTCTTCATCCCCTCGGATCATGAACATCAATAGAGGTATTTCGTAAATAAGCGCTTAAAACATATGTTCATCATCATGATCATTACTATTACCAAGCCCGCAATACTCTAGAGATTATCCATCGCTTCAAACCTTAAACGCGATTCGCCAATTCCAAGAACTTAATCAATTCATAGCAACATAAACAAACAATATTTAGTGAATACATAACAACTTTCATTAGCAACAAAAAATCGCTAAGCAACGTATCCTACTAGCAATTAAATTAAACCCCATAAAACTACGTTTTTGTTTTTTTCTAGCCAAAGGGCACTATACTATAGTTACTACAATATAATTACATAGCTTCGCGTTATCGAATTATAAGTTTTTTTTTTATTATAAATATATATATTTCTATTGAAATCGATCGTAATCTATTTATCGGTAAAAATATTCTAGAGAGAGATTTTGCAGTCGATTGTATTTTTAGTAATATTCTACGTAAAATTGTCGCCTAATCCCAAGTCCACGTTATATAGTAACTAGCTATGAATGAGGGTAGTGACAAAGCAACATTAAAAGAAAAAACAGCTGATATACACTCTCTCTCTCTTTCTTATCAAAATTATGTACATTCATTTCTTACATCAGTGATTTCCAACGTTTGAAACTGGGAATATTTATGTTTTCTAAATAATAAATATAATATATAAGTATTATAAATTTAATCCTTAATTTCCTACATATGCAAACTAACTTTTACAATCAACGGGAAATATTCAAAATTAGTATTGTTATCAACTTATATAATACATAAATAGTTTTAGAGCTGTACTCTTTCGCAATTGTTAGTGTTTTTTTTTTGAAGTTTTTAAACTTTCTACTTTACTATTATTACAATTTGGAGAAAAATACAAGTAACTTATTTTCGAAAAAGTTTGCTTATATCTTTATACTTTTCTAATTATTTACATATTTTTCAATACCACTGATAACAATACCACTTACCTTATTCTATTAGTGTACAGATCTTTAACTAAATTATTTTCCAAATTACAATAAGTGTATTTGTCAAAAATAAAATTTCATATCATAATTTAAGTGCGCGATAGAAGTTTAACTTAGTTAAAATATGCAATGAGTTTAAAAAGAACGTTAAATTTCAACCAATTTGCGGCACGACTCAACATTTTGTTTGACGTTTATAACATGTTTTTGACACTTTCACAGTAGGTGACAGCTGTCATTTCGCGATCCATTTAAGATTGAACGTGAACGATAGGTTGAGAAACGCTGGTCCATACTATAACAACTAACGTAACATTATACAATGATTACAGTCATAATAAGAAAACATTAGCTTGCATCGCATTTGTAAACGATACATATTATAGTTCACTTGTTGAAATATCCTAAGCGATTCATACTCATATATACTGCGAATATTAACATTTGCACTTTCCACAAATGCATCATCAAATCTGCGGTTTCGGAATAAAGCAATGCTTCTAAATTTGGGTAAGCGCATGTTTTATCGTTAATTTAAGAAACACGGTAACAATTGTAACAAAACTTAGTACATTAACTTTGAAAGTATATTTTAAACGTATACTTGAAATCTTTCAAATTGCAATCAAGTTGAGATATTTTAATATCTTCTAGGTTTATATGAAATTTGCAAATTAAGGTCAGCTTGATTTATTGGTAGAAAAACAAATGTAAAATGACATTTAATTATTATAATTTATTGGAAACGATTATGAGCAATTATGTGATTTCAATGTTACGTTTTTCTTTTCTTGTCGCTGAAGATCGAAGTTGGATGCAATCATTGATATATTATAGAAAAAAAACTTATATAATAATTGCATTTTTTTTTTGCATACATAAGTTATTATAAATATAATTTTACATTCATTTATATATATATAACAAATTGTTTATTTCTATTTATTTTTTTTATTATTTATATACATTTTTTACACTATTTATTATTCATTTCGAACAATCAAAATCCCGACTACAATAAAAATGTTATTGTAGAAATTTATAATAATAAAAGACACTGTCAGGATTTCGATATAGACGGGATTTTGATTGTCGGAATTATGGTAGTCGGTATTTTGACATAGTCGGGATTTCGATATAGTCGGGATTTTGAGCCAGCTGAGATTTCGATACACTCGGGATTCCGAACGTCGGGATTTCGAACGACGGCATTTCGAACATCGGGATTTCGATAGACGGGATTTCGGTTGTTGGGCTTGCGATTGCCACCGGCATCCAATACATCATTTTAATTTTGAACTTGTTTATGTCGTTTTCTATTCGTATTTCCTCTTGAACCTTGTTGTATTGTGCAACGCCCTGCACCAGCAAACTCCTGTTCATTATGTTAGTTGTATTTCATTCCATTCTTATATTTCTTCTAGTTCTCGTATGATGAATGGGTGCCGCAGCCGAAGGACAGGCACATCCGGGTTTTTACTAATTTGCGTATTAGTATGTTTGTCTGTGCCTCTATTAATATCCCCAAATTCGGTATATGCGTGTCATGGCTATTTAATTATTTTCTTAAGCTTTGATTGTTCTTTTTTTAATGCGTTTAGGCATTCCTTTAATGTCTTTCCCCACACCGCCACACCATACTACATCAATTAGCACACTACAGCATTTAAAATAGTTTGCAATCGATATGTCTTGGATTGATTAGATTAGAACAAAATTTATAATTAACTTAGTGAAAATACTATTCGCATCATTATTATCAGTATTGCAATAAAATAATATTCAATTATACATTTCGCTAATAGTGTCAGATCACATCTATTTTACAGATGATTTGAAACAAGTGAGTGTTTCTTTAGTAAATATTTAATATAACGAAGGTAACTATGGTAATTTCATTAGTAACCATAACAACAAAGTATTAAATTGACAATTGCAGCTGTCTTAGAAATTGCTTCATTTTTTTTGTCAATTTCTTTAAGGAAATTTTACGCTTTTCAGTTTATCTAATAATTATAATTTCAAAGTATTGTCGTCATGTACAATCGTATTGTAACAGTCCACGAAGCAATTATTTTTTAAGTAATCCTATTAGAATACAAGGATTTTAGTGATTCTTATAAAGTGTGAGTATTTTTTTTTATTTTGATAATGAAAGAATTTGATCTTTTACGAATATAATTTAACTAACTACCATAATTACAAAGCATCTACATCATATTTAAACGGTTTTTAGAACAATTAATTTTTGGATAAACCCATTAAAATTGAGCTAGATATCTTCGATATTATAAAGTAATCTATTTTTTTTAAATATTTAATTGAACTAATAACTACAATTTTATTAGGACAAAAATCATTATTTTTCCTTAAAAAAAAATGTTTTGTTAATGTAAGTTAGCATTGGGGGATATTATTATTATTCTATTTTTGCGTGAACGTGAACACGAATAGCACACAACACACACACGAATTCGGAACAGGACCGACCGTTAGAAATGTATTATTATTATATTTTTATTGTTGTTGGGGCCAGTCCGATTTTGGTAGTGTACTCAAAATCAAATATTCTAATCGTCATAAGTTGTTAATTGTTTAAAGTTTTTTTTCGTGAGCTTAGTTAATTGAAATTATGTCGACAAGGACGTTCGCATTTTCTACTGGAATGGAATTACATGGAGTAGACTTTATGTTTGGGTAATCGATACAATTTGTTTACTATTGCGTTACGATCTTCTTCTATTTCTTTGATAAGAAACAAAAGAGAATTTATATATATATATTGGGTTTCCAACGATATCTCTGAATGTATTTTACGCACGCGAAATTCGCGACTGATATTGTTAAACTATGTAAATATCCAGACACAACATCGCAATGGTATTTATGTTATTAACAACTACATTAATTATTTAAATGTTCAATAAACATGCCATCTATTCTTAGTTATTAATTAATTCCAATGAAAACCATTTACTTTTATAGTATTATATAGAAAGAGTGTGATTTATAAAAGGTAATTGTCTATTTGCAATTTTAGTTAAAGTTAAAATTAGCAAAAACAAGTACAGGAATATAATTTAAAATATTTTCTAAAAAGTGTCCATTCCTGATTTTTTCTTTCAATAACATCAGCGTTTCTCAACTTTTTGACCCAGTTTTTTTACCTATTCTTCACTTTGACACATATTTGACAGCTGTCGATATATTTCTTCAGAAATGAAGCAAAAAGTTGTTATACAATTGTATAAAAATCAGTGTGATTTATAAAAGATAATTGTCTGTTTGCAATTTTAGTTAAATTTAAAATTAACAAAAACAAGTACAGGAATATAATTTAAAATATTTTCTAAAAAGTATCCATTCGTGATTTATTTAATAACGTCGGCGTTTCTCAAACTTTTTGACTCAACATAACAAAGTTTTCCACCAATTCCTCACTTTGACATATATTTGACAGCTGTCGATATATTTCTTCAAAAATTAAACGAGTTGTTATTCAATTGTATAGAAATCTGAGTGATTTATAAAAGAAAATAGACTATTTGCAATTTCAGTTAAAGTTAAAATTAGCAAAAAGAAATACAGAAATATAATTTGAAATATTTTCTAAAAAGTGTCTATTAGTAATTTCTTCAATAACATCAGCGTTTCTCAACCCTTCTCATCCAACATAACAAATTATTTCACCAATTCCTCGCTTTGACACATATTTGACAGCTGTCAATATATTTCTTCAAAAATTAAGCAACGAGTTGTTATTCAATTGTATAGAAAATCAGTGTGATTTATAAAAGAAAATAGTCTATTTGTAATTTCAGTTAAGGATAAAATTATCAAAAAAAAATACAGAAATATAATTTGAAATATTTTCTAAAAAGTGTCTATTAGTAATTTCTTCAATAACATCAGCGTTTCTCAACCCTTCTCATCCAACATAACAAATTATTTCACCAATTCCTCGCTTTGACACATATTTGACAGCTGTCGATATATATCTTCAAAAATTAAGCACCGAGTTGTTATTCAATTGTATAGAAAATCAGTGTGATGTATAAAAGAAAATAGCCTATTTCTAATTTTAGTTAAAGTTAACAAAAACAAGTACAGGAATATAATTTGAAAGATTTTCTAGAAACTGTCCATTCCTAATTTTTCTTCAATAACATCACGTTTCTCAACCTTTTTGACCCAACATAACAACATTTTTCACCAATTCCCCACTTTGACACATATTTGACAGCTGTCGAAATATTCCTTCAACAATGAAGAACTTAATAAATTTAACACTTTTTAAATTATTATATGCTTCGTGTAATCTGCATTTTTTTTCTTTCGACTGATTACATTAGACAATAAAGAAATGTGATTGGATATGACAATATTTAGATAAAGGAAAATCTAAAACGCGGAAAAAAAAATCATTATCGCTATTATCGTGTAGATTCGAGATTAGGAATGGTACTAAATGGACATTAAGTGTAAATTTAAGTAATTAAAAGCATGCTCTAAAATACTACGAATTACATAATTATTTATTTTGATAAGTATTTAAAACAAAAAACATTCTTACAATTTACAATGAAATCTCATTAGGTTTTATCGTATGCTTTTTTAGATTTAAATACAATTTTATTTGATTTGCAATTGTTATTTGTTTACTGTTACTATGAGATATCAATATTTTTGTTATTTTCATGTGTATTTCTATTATGTAGATATAGTTGGCACAAACTAGGTTTCAATATGAGACCCCAATTGTTTATAACCTATTTATTGTCGCTTTGACGTAAGGTGACAGTTGTCATTAATAATATAATGTGATCTTATGTTGTGTCATAGGTTGAGAAACGCTGAATTCGAAAAATTAAGTTTGTACATATTATATATAAGTTTAAAATTATAGCAATATTTATCTTCAGTATTATAACAAAAATAAATTGAATGAATCTGCTGAATCCGATCTATCGATTTAAAACGTGCCAAGAAATTCGTTAAATGTATGATTATTATCGTAAATGGGAACATTTCGACACCGAAAAGTAGCGGCGGCGGCTCGGAAATCCATTGTCATTTCCATACTAGATTTATTTACGTTTTAATCAATGGCATTCGCCGCTCTGATGATGATATCACATCGGGGGGGATTTAGAAATTCCACTTAAACTCGATTTCATAAACGTGCAATAAAACAATAATAAGGAAGGTTAATCCCCCTGAAACAATACTTTACTTTTAAAACATGTTTACGGTATTCGCGTATATTTATGTACATTCTGCGGTTCTGATACTGCAATTAAATTGACATTTACATGATTTTCCATCTTAAGAAGTGAATGCGTGTTGAAGATATTAACATAATTTTCATGTATGGAATTCATGGAATTAATTGAGGAAATTAAATATGAAAATTGATATAAGTGAATAGCATTGCATCGTTTCTAGATTAGCAATCATTTAGTCTTTAATTCAAATGCTAACATACATTATATTATCAAATCATAAAATGTACAATCTGTGAAGCAATATTTACAATAATTAATATTGTATTAAATAAATCATCCTTAAATGTCAAATGACATTAATAATGTCAAAAAGAAAATACAAATATTCTTATCATTTCTCATAGACTTTAGTAAATTATTGATAATTAATCTATTTTATTTATAAAAATAAAATTCATAATTACTATGCAAATAGTTTGAATGTAATCAATGTAAATTCTTCTAATTTTATATGATCTTACGGTTACGGTAATTTTCTGTTTCAGGAGCAATTTAGGATAGCTGACTTGGAGAATCTGTACAAAAGATACACGGACAAAATAAACAATGGGTACTTCTCATTATTTTTGATATTACAATGTCTCTTAGTCTGTGTCACTTTTTTGTAGTCTTAGTTTATAATATGGTAAGCATAGGTTTACGAGCAAATCGCCATCAGTCGAATGTAAAATCGAATGCATAATGCGTGTCCGTGTTGCAGGAAAATGAAACGTTACAAAGAGTGGTGCCCGATTTAATACTGTACGCGGTGGCCGGTGTAGTTCCAATTGTAGCGATATTCCTGTCGGAGAGTTACGTGAAGAAGCACCCGGATCTCCTCAACTATGCATCCACAGCGGCCTTCCTGCTGCTCTTCACGTTGGACGTGGTGCTACCGATCTACCATAATGTGCAAACCGCAGAACTGGGAAAGCTCGGCATCAGACCAACGTACACCACTCACCTGGTGCTCGCGTGCCAATATTCTTCACGGTACGCAGCACTTCCACCGCGATGGCATTGGGCATCTTCGTGAGCGTCACGCACATCCTCATCGTCATTTTCTTCACCTACAAGAACTCTCCAATATTAATCCAAAGAGTACGTGATTTAGTAAATTATTAACTCACAACTAATTACTTCGATTTCTGCTGCAGATAATCGCCGACAGCATTTACTATTTATGCATAAACGGCGTCGGGGCCTATTTTCGTTTCATCAATGAGATGATGAAGCGCAGAGGTTTTCTGGATAGACGGGCGTGCGTTCAATCAAATCTAGAGTTAACTTTCCAGAAGGATCAAGAGGTATTCCAAATAAATTATCTGTAATTTGAATCAACTGATATATTCTTATTTGTGCAGGAACAACTAATGTTAAGTATTATACCGAAGAGCATCATCGAGATGGTCCGGAAAGATATTTCGGAGAATTTCAAGTCGATGAAGGTGCAGACTAAACCTTTCGGGTTAGTAGAATTTTTATCATATTATAAAATTTTATTAATATGATACAAATTCTATTAACCACAAAAAATTACAGGAATCGTTATATTGTTCCACACGATAACGTGACGATCTTGTACGCGGATATTGTCAACTACACGGAGATGACCACAAAGTTAAAACCAGTGACGAAGCTCGTGGAGACATTGAACGATCTTTTCGGTAGTTTCGATGATGCGTCGGAAGCTTTGAAAGTGCTTCGCATCAAGTTCTTGGGGGATTGCTACTACTGCGTGGCAGGTCTACCCCCAGACAATATCCCTAATCATGCGGACGCTTGTGTCGATCTTGGATTGAAGATGATTGAGATTATTAAACGCGTCAGGTATTCTAATTAACTTTAATATAGTCAAGAGGTAAAACATTCTTGTTTAGGAAGAGCCGTAAATTGGATATAAACATGAGGATCGGTATACACTCCGGGAGCATCTTGAGCGGAATCATAGGCATCGCCAAATGGCAGTTCGACGTTTGGTCCAAAGACGTTCACATTGCTAACAAGGTCGAGAGCACAGGAAGCCCAGGGTAATTAATGTTCAGCCCTCAGATTAAATTCATTCTCATAGCAAAATTTAGAACGTTGAATTTATATTCCGCAGAAAAGTACATATCACAAAACAAACCAAAGATCAACTGACCAAAGATTACAATATGGTTCCAAATAGCAGATGCAAGACTGATCCTTTTCTTAAGCAATACAACATCGAGACGTTCCTGATAACGCCAGAGGTAAGTTTAAGGTTAACGCTTAGACCCAAAAAAGTTTATATGAAATTATTTTAGAAGGAACCGGAGGAGCCGCCGTGCGCTAAAGTCGCGGACGTCATCCTGAACCCGAGCGGTCTGGACAAACGTCGCGACACGTTCCAGAGGAAGCAGGACTTGCGGAAGGTCAGCTCGACGCCGAATCTGGGAAGGCGATTGACCAGTCGCAGGATCAGCGGGAAAATCCCTTTACCAAACATCGAAAAGAAAATCAACAACAGCGAGAGGAGGACGAGCGGGCAAAATTATAGGGAATCGTTGATAAGCGGTCGAATGTCGGACAGGAGGACCGCTTTCATGGACAACAACATCAACAGATATCAGGAGATGTTGCAATTCACCGACGACAAACTGTCCGAGGCCATCCATTCAATGCCCTTCGCCAAATACGAGTAAGAGCGAAGATTCCTAAAAATTTAGATCGTTAATTCACGAGTTCAGTTTGCAGCCAGTGGATCAAGAAGTCCGATATTAATCCGCTTTTGCTGGTCTTCAAAGACTTGAAGAAGGAACTCAACTACTTCCAGATTCCCGATCCGCTGTTCCGGTATTACATGCTCACCGAACTGCTCATTCTGATCGGCGTTTTGCTCATCCAAAACATCACAGTTCCACAGTAAGTATAACAGTGATCTCGAGCAAATCAATAAGTTCATTGTTATCCTTTTCGTTCAGCTGGGATTGTACCACTTTTCTGGGTTTGGGTATGATGGTTTTCGTAATAGTTATCTTATTGCCTTTAACTTGGAGCAGTTACATTTGGAACACATATTACCACAAGATCAACAACAACGATTCAGTCAGCTATTACGACGATAGCAATTTATCCGATGAACCCACAGCTGAAATAAACATCGACGATAAACCTAAAAATAAATTTATATTGCTACTATACAACATATCAAACACGATTACCATCAATGTCTTCTGCCGCATCACAATTTATCTCTTCATTTGCGCATTATTTGCGCTCTTCGTTTTCGGAGATTTAGTAAGTGTTAACAATGATAACTAAGTATTATAATTCGATCGAATTATTATTTTAAATAATTTCTAGTTCCTCTGCAAGTACGGAGACACATCAATAAATGTTTTAAAAGAGAAGCCCGTAAATGATTCCACAAACAACTGTTTTGTGCCATGGGTAAGTATTTAAGTTTCGAAAAACCTTAAAACTATACTAAATAATTAAATGATTAAAGCACATGACTCAAACATGCGGATTGGCAATCGTAATGAGCTTCCTTTTCCTAAAAGTCCACGTGTGGATAAAGTTCTTCTACGCAGCAACCATCACGATAGTCTACTCGCTATTCATCTATCAAGCCTCCGATTTATTCGAGGTTTGTCGTCGTAAGACCCAAAATAGATATGATTTCCTAATCACTGTATCCTGCAGGACAGCGAAACGCTCAGCTTCCAAATACCCACGTGGATAGCGCACATCATAAGCATAGTCTATCTGACGTTCACTTTACATCTGATCGACCGTCAGGCAGATTACATGAACCGTCTGGATCACCAGTGGAATCTTCAGCTGATCAAAGAACAGGAAGAGGCCAACTTCATGCGATTAATAAACCATTACTTGCTGGTAAACATTCTGCCGGTCCACGTCGGTAAATCATATGATGTTTATCTTTATATTATTGTTTATTTATTGATGATTGCATTTAGCTCATAGATACTTAGACGTGAACCGAACCAAAGAGTTGTACTGCGAAGAGTACTCGGACGTCGCAGTTATGTTCGCCTCCATTGTCAATTACAATTTGGACGACACGGAGGAGAAATTTTTCATGCACATAATGCACGAGATCATTGGAGATTTTGATAAGGTAATTAACGAAATACTTATGAGTGATATTAACAAATTATGAATATTCACAGCTATTGGTGAGAGACAAGGAGAAGGACAAGAACAAGATTGAAAAGATCAAAGTTGCCAATTGGACGTACATGGCGGCATGCGGATTGGCGCCCGGCGATTCCACCTACAGCGTCGTGGACGATGAAACGCGGAAATCTTACGTGGTGACGCTTCTCTCGTTCGCGGTGGAGATGCGCAAAGTGCTGAAGAAGCACAACAAAGAGAGTCTCCAGGATTACCAGCTGAGGATAGGCATATGTCACGGCGAAGTGACGGCCGGCGTGGTTGGATCGAAGAAGCCTCTGTACGATATCTGGGGAGATGCCGTGAACATTGCTTCCAGGATGGACAGCACCGGTGAATCCAACAGGATTCAAGTAACGGAAGATACGGCGATGGCTATAGAGTCGAGCGGATACAAGTGCGAGTTCAGGGACTTCATTTTCGTGAAGGGCAAATCGCAGAATGGTATTCCCGACGTGCCCACCTACTGGGTGTGTCTGGATGACGAGGACAATCTGATCCCGATCTGCAACAATGAAATCGATGAAGAAATCTCTTGAATATAATTGCGTATATATTCCACAACTCACTCATGACTGATGCAAACCCAAATACGGTTCGTTGCTGTGCAAAACGAAGATTAAGGAAAACAATTTTCATGTCGGTAGATACCAGTGTAATGTAATCAAAATGTAGCGTTTATATAGAAAATTATTTTCCTAGAGCTGAAACGCGCAAGTGTTCATATTATTTTTGTAAATTAAAACCAATGAAGCAAACAAAAAATAACAACAACAACAACAACTAATACTACTACAAGAAGAAGTTCGTACTGTTTCATTTCGTCTCTCTTTATCTCTCCGATATTTAATTGGACTCTCTACCTTCGATACGAATCATGCGGCGTTGCTACAAACAATCGACCAATTTTGTATCTTGACTTGAAAATTTTGATATTTTTAATTGTATTTATTCAATGAACAATAAACAATATTATCTAATAAATGTTCAATTACTGCTATAAATCAACCAATAGCTGAATAGTAAATAAGATAAATAAATTCTGAATATAATTTCAGAAGCAATTTAGGATAGCTGACTTGGAGAATCTGTACAAAAGATACACGGAGTTTATATGAAATTATTTTAGAAGGAACCGGAGGAGCCGCCGTGCGCTAAAGTCGCGGACGTCATCCTGAACCCGAGCGGTCTGGACAAACGTCGCGACACGTTCCAGAGGAAGCAGGACTTGCGGAAGGTCAGCTCGACGCCGAATCTGGGAAGGCGATTGACCAGTCGCAGGATCAGCGGGAAAATCCCTTTACCAAACATCGAAAAGAAAATCAACAACAGCGAGAGGAGGACGAGCGGGCAAAATTATAGGGAATCGTTGATAAGCGGTCGAATGTCGGACAGGAGGACCGCTTTCATGGACAACAACATCAACAGATATCAGGAGATGTTGCAATTCACCGACGACAAACTGTCCGAGGCCATCCATTCAATGCCCTTCGCCAAATACGAGTAAGAGCGAAGATTCCTAAAAATTTAGATCGTTAATTCACGAGTTCAGTTTGCAGCCAGTGGATCAAGAAGTCCGATATTAATCCGCTTTTGCTGGTCTTCAAAGACTTATAAATTATCTGTAATTTGAATCAACTGATATATTCTTATTTGCGCAGGAACAACTAATGTTAAGTATTATACCTAAGAGCATCATCGAGATGGTCCGGAAAGATATTTCGGAGAATTTCAAGTCGTTGAAGGTGCAGACTAAATCTTTCGGGTTAGTAGAATTTTTATCATATTATAAAATTTTATTAATATGTTACAAATTCTATTAACCACAAAAAAATACAGGGATCGTTATATTGTTCCACACGATAACGTGACGATCTTGTACGCGGATATTGTCAACTACACGGAGATGACCTCAAAGTTAAAACCAGTGACGAAGCTCGTGGAGACATTGAACGATCTTTTCGGTAGTTTCAATGATGCGTCGGAAGCTTTGAAAGTGCTTCGCATCAAGTTCTTGGGGGATTGCTACTACCCCCAGACAATATCCCTAATCATGCGGACGCTTGTGTCGATCTTGGATTGAAAATGATTGAGATTATTAAACGCGTCAGGTATTCTAATTAACTTTAATATAGTCAAGAAGTATTTTTTTCTTGTTTAGGAAGAGTCGTAAATTGGATATAAACATGAGGATCGGTATACACTCCGGGAGCATCTTGAGCGGAATCATAGGCATCGCCAAATGGCAGTCCAAAGCAAAAGACGTTCACATTGCTAACAAGTTCGAGAGCACAGCAAGCCCAGGGTAATTAATGTTCAGCCCTCAAATTAAATTCATTCTCATAGCAAAATTTAGAACGTTGAATTTATATTCCGCTGAAAAGTACATATCACAAAACAAACCAAAGATCAACTGACCAAAGATTACACTATCGTTCCAAATAGCAGATGCAAGACTGATCCTTTTCTTAAGCAATACAACATCGAGACGTTCCTGATAACGCCAGAGGTAAGTTTAAGCTTAACGCTCAGACCCAAAAAATGAGAATTTCAAGAATTCTTAAATCTATCGGTATTTCAAACCTTTTAGGAAATTCCAGTTTTCAGTTGAAATCATTCAATTTGTAATCTACAAT